TAAAAACTTCGGTCAAATTCAATTGAAAAATATATAAAGTTTATATTTATAAGTTAGGTTGAAACTGTTTTTAGAATTCTTATATACTATTTTGTTACTTGATTAAATTTAAATTTAACAATTTAAACAGAATTATTTTTATTCATAAAACAAATTTAAAAAGAAAAAGTAAACCAAAATTTTTTATATTCAACCTATGCTTTGTTACTTAGTTTGCAACATATTTTTGAAAAAGGGGATTACAATCTTTGGAGTTTCATGAATGGTTTTATTAATTACAACATCTTTTATTTTATCAGCTTAAATTTTTTCTGCTAAATATCTAGAGAGGATAATATCAATTTAATATACATATGTAAACAGCTTGTTCTAAGTAACAAATTAGATGGTTTTTTATTTTGATATTCGATTAAATTCAAATAAACTTATTTTTAAACATTCCTTAGAATCTATTATTTTTATTAGAGATCACTTATTAAATAAATCAATATAGAATTTACCTTAGGATTTAATGAATGTTGTGAATGAAAGATTCAACCTATGAATTCTCTAAATATTTTGTTTGATTTTTCATAGGCTTAACTAATTTCTTGACTTGGTTCTTATTGAAGGAAACTATTTCTGATATATTTTAATCAAGGCTTTATGGCATTTTGAAATTTATTTATCCAGCTTCTAAAAATAAATAGATTAATAATTGTGACTTCTTCGCGCTTTAGCATTTTTTATGGATTTAGCAGTTCTATTTCTCTATGCATTTGTTTAACGATCTTTGTAATGATTATTAAAGAATACAATTATTAATAGCTTAAATGAGATTAAAAAAGCTTGAGACGAACTCTAGATGTTTAGAATCGCTTTCATAATCAGAGATCATATAAATTAATTTAATTAAATAGTTCGTAATATAGTATATTATTCTCTGATATTTAGTTTTCATCTCTAACTATTTTGATTGTTATGACATACTTGTCTTGTGTCATTATCAGTAAATATTAATTTAAGCACACAATTAATTGTGTTATAAAAACATTATTTTGTATTTGAATATTCTAATTAACTGAGGTACAATTATAAATTACAATGTATTTCATAATTTCTTGATAATGAATATTCTTAAAAATTTTTTTAAATGTTTTATTGGAGTTTTTAATTGTTATTATTTAAATTTAATTATTGAAATTTGTATTAGATTAAAAGTTTGAAATACTAAAATACAATATTTGATTAAATATATATTATTTTAAAGTGAAAATTATGTGAATTATTTCTTGAAAAATAACAATTTGATGATAAAAATAAAATATATAAAATTAAATCTCCATAGTTTTTTTTAATGAAAATAAAAAATTTTATAAAATTTCTCTTAATATTTTTCAGAATTTAAGTATTAGAAAATGGAATTAATTATTCTTAAAACATAATAATGTGCTAAGGTGATTGAAAATAAATGGACTAGAACTGCTCCAATCATTTATATCTTAATAGGAACATTTCTCATTTCAATAAACTCCTTACTTGGTAAAACAGTTGGAATGAATGCAAATTAAATTGTATATTCTAGAGGAATTATAATGTTTTTATTGGGTTCAGTGATAGCAAATAGTTCAAAAGTAAATCTTTATGGATTTTCAAGAGATGTTTATTCGAAATTATTTTAACGAAGTATTATTGGATGTATTGCAACACTTTTATTTTACACAGGTCTTAAATATGTGAATATTGCTGAAGCTTAAGTACTTTTATAAACATCACCATTTTGGACAACTTTGATAGCTATACTTTATCTAAAAACTGAGGTATTTTCTTATAAATTATTTGCTAATTTGTTATTGTGTTTTTTGGGAATAATATTTATAACTCAGCCTCCTTTTTTAAAATTAATTCTTGGTTAAAAAATAAGTACAATAAACAATTCCGAAACACAATTTTTTGGATGCATTCTATTATTAATTTCTGCATTTTTCTTTTCATTAGTATAGATATTGATCAATAATTTATCCAATAAAGTAAACATTTAAATTTATATAATTTTAGGTAAATCAATTAGTAATACCATAATATTTTGGAGTAACTTCTTTAGTAATTTCCTCAATAGTTTGTATAATAGAACCTAATTTTATTTGGAGGAATCCATCTCCATTTGAAGCTATTTTACTATTATCAGTTGGTTTAGTATCTTATCTTTAATAAATATTTTTGAATCGAGCATATATGAAGGGAGATTTAACAGAAATGTCTATGTTAGGTTAAACTTAAATTTTATATGGATATATATTTGATCTTCTAAGAGGAGCTCATATATCTTTATTAAGTGTTCTTGGATCTATCATGATTGTAGGAGCCTTATTGAAAGTTATTTTGGATAAAAAAAAGTTGAGAGAAAAGCTACAAAAAGAAGGACAAAAATGAAAGATAAAATTTTAATTTAATATATTTACTATCAGTTTTAAATAGATTGTCTAATTCATTTTTATGATTTAAATAATTATATAAAATTAATCAGGAATATATAATTTTTTAATATAAATGCAATTAACAAAATTTTCAGCATGAATAATAATAACTAATTCACAATGTATGTATGTTCTTATTCTAAAAGTTGAAATTCTAAAGAATTTCTGTTAATTATTATGGAATTTCATTTAAGTATGCTCTTTATATAATGATGTTTTCAAAATATAAATATCTTCAATTAAATTTGAATTATTCAGATCATATACTTGAACAAAAATAATATTAAAGATTTTTATCTATCTAAATTCATTTATAAACTTCCATTATTACTATAAAATAATTATAAACATAATAATCAATTGTAATTCATAAATATAGAGTAGAAATGAATAAAGCAATTCTATGAAATTAAAATCTTAATTATCCAAAATAATAATTTATTTATATAAAAGGAAGAGAATTCATGACTAAAACAAATAAAACATTAGTAAATCGAAATTAATTCCATTTGCAACATTAAATATTATATATTAAATATATATAAAATATCTAAAGTAATGATTATATTTCATTTTGTACATGCTTATCCAAATCCATTATTATCAGCTAGATGCTCTATAATAATTTCTGGATATAAGATAAAGATACCTTAGGATTTATTCATAAGACCATCAAAATATTTTGTCATTGTAATAAAGCAGAGAAATTTTCATACATATAAGTTCTTAATTCTATCCCATCTTGCGTAAATAATTTATGTTAGATTATGTAAAGGTTTAGTTACTTATAATTAATAAGAAATTGCTCTAATAAATTATGAATGGTAAACTTACAAATAATAGAAATTAATTTCAAAACTTGGAAGCAAATCAGAATACTTATGTGAAGACTATATAAATGATTAGGTAAGTTTTAAATCATCAAAAAATTAACTTTTGATAGACCATTGTATTTTATAATTTTCAACATTTAAATAATTCATAGAATTCTTTAATAAGATTCTAAGACTCTATATTAGTTTTATAAATCAATTAAAATGTTTCACCACTTTACTATTATTTCTATAATTTGTAGATAAAGACAATCTATAAAGATCATTTGAGAATAGGTTTTAAATGTGAGCGAATAGTAAAATTTAGTCAAGAATCAATAGAATGTTAAGTTCTTTCAGAAAGTTTAGTAGCATTAAATTTTTGTGCTAATTCATTTTGATTAAGAAAATAAATAACAGGAGCATACTTATTTTTAAATATATCATTTTTCTTTTTATTTTCTTATTGCCACTTTGATTTGTTTTACTAACACATACGTTGATATACAAAGGGTTAATAAAGTTAGCATTGTAAATGTGGTCATCTACAATCCTAAGGTTTCTCCTAGTCCTTAATTGTTTTCTTATGAACCCTTTTAAAATCTATTCAAATCTTTCATCTACCCATAAACTCGATCCAACTATTTTAAATACCCATCAATTAAATCTAGATCTTCTTTGTTGGCCATTTACTCTCGATCTACTGTTTCATCTCCCTTCTTATATGTGATGTCAAACTTTGCGTTTTTCGTTCCAAATACTCTAAAGCAATATTTCAGGTATTCATTGCTCCACATAGTCAATGTGTACTTAATGAGGATCTCATTTTTTCGTGACTCAATCTACTAGGGGTCCTTTTGGCCTTGCTTTCACGATTGCTAATGAAGTGAGTACCTCCACTGTAAACTCGAATTCAGTCGAGTTAGCTATAATCTATAATGCCATCATTTAGCCCTTCAATAATTGATCTTAAAGACACTATTGCTCTCCTGATTGGACAATGAATCCAAAATTATCTGCAATAACTTTTACAATTCCAACAAATAGCAATGCAATATACATAAATTAATTTATATATCTAACTATTTCTTTATATATAAGTAAATATAAATTCAAATTCATATATGTCTAATTATCTAAATTTAGTTGGAGAGCTTATTGGAACATTAGAAGATTTAAGGGAAAAGAAAGAAGAACTTAAGAGTGAAATTTATGAAGAAGAAGAAGAAAGACGTAGAATTGAAAAAGAATTAGAGATTCTTACAGAAAGATTAGATAGAGTAAATGGTATTTGAATAATATAAATTAATATAATATAGAAACAATAATGAGAACAGCTACTGAAAAAAGGGAATTAGAAAAGACCATATAAGAAACTGAACATACTAAAAATAAGATTGTAGAGAGTCTCAAAACTCTATTACATGTTCTATAGAAAGAATCATAATATCATATCAAAGAATAATGATCACATATCTTCCAACATAATTAATTTCACCTCTCCATTTTCCATCAAACCAATCACATCTACACTTTTTAAAATCTCTTAATCAACTTATTCTTTAAATAAAACTAATGATAGTTTTAATCCTCTCAAATTATTTTTATATTCGCTTATTGTTTTGTATAGTAGAAATTCATAATCACCATTTTATTTATTATCCTATTCGGCAACTTTCTTTCTTGATAAATTTTTAATTTATTAATTAACTTTCTCCATTTATTCTGCCTTTAATTGAAAACTTAAATAAAGATCCATATTTCTTATCTAAATATAAGCGCATATTCTATGAACATCCGGTTTAAAAGTATTTAAAAAATCAACAGGATCATTTATCCAATGATAATTTTAAATATCATATTGCTCTTTCAATTCTTCATTATATCGACAAACCATACACTCTTTATAATTAAGTAGATAATAAATCTCTAATAAACTCAAGAAGTAATGACCTTAAATCTTAATACCACAATGTCTTCTAAATAATATATTTATTGAATCATCTTTAATACAATGAGCAATCCCCAGCTATTCACTATATATAGCCTTAATTATCATTCTATATAACTTTCTGCTGGAAAATTATGTAATAAAAATTATAAATGATTTTACTTGATTAAACAATTTTTTTTAAGTTTATCATTATAAGAGATCCAGGTCTTATCAAAATTTAACTATTCTAAAGAGTTGGAAGGTCTAATCGATTATTGAGATATATGAAGGACTAATTTACAAATCAATATTTACGAAAATTGGAGTAGACTATCTAACAGTCTTCTTNTATACATAAATTAATTTATATATCTAACTATTTCTTTATATATAAGTAAATATAAATTCAAATTCATATATGTCTAATTATCTAAATTTAGTTGGAGAGCTTATTGGAACATTAGAAGATTTAAGGGAAAAGAAAGAAGAACTTAAGAGTGAAATTTATGAAGAAGAAGAAGAAAGACGTAGAATTGAAAAAGAATTAGAGATTCTTACAGAAAGATTAGATAGAGTAAATGGTATTTGAATAATATAAATTAATATAATATAGAAACAATAATGAGAACAGCTACTGAAAAAAGGGAATTAGAAAAGACCATATAAGAAACTGAACATACTAAAAATAAGATTGTAGAGAGTCTCAAAACTCTATTACATGTTCTATAGAAAGAATCATAATATCATATCAAAGAATAATGATCACATATCTTCCAACATAATTAATTTCACCTCTCCATTTTCCATCAAACCAATCACATCTACACTTTTTAAAATCTCTTAATCAACTTATTCTTTAAATAAAACTAATGATAGTTTTAATCCTCTCAAATTATTTTTATATTCGCTTATTGTTTTGTATAGTAGAAATTCATAATCACCATTTTATTTATTATCCTATTCGGCAACTTTCTTTCTTGATAAATTTTTAATTTATTAATTAACTTTCTCCATTTATTCTGCCTTTAATTGAAAACTTAAATAAAGATCCATATTTCTTATCTAAATATAAGCGCATATTCTATGAACATCCGGTTTAAAAGTATTTAAAAAATCAACAGGATCATTTATCCAATGATAATTTTAAATATCATATTGCTCTTTCAATTCTTCATTATATCGACAAACCATACACTCTTTATAATTAAGTAGATAATAAATCTCTAATAAACTCAAGAAGTAATGACCTTAAATCTTAATACCACAATGTCTTCTAAATAATATATTTATTGAATCATCTTTAATACAATGAGCAATCCCCAGCTATTCACTATATATAGCCTTAATTATCATTCTATATAACTTTCTGCTGGAAAATTATGTAATAAAAATTATAAATGATTTTACTTGATTAAACAATTTTTTTTAAGTTTATCATTATAAGAGATCCAGGTCTTATCAAAATTTAACTATTCTAAAGAGTTGGAAGGTCTAATCGATTATTGAGATATATGAAGGACTAATTTACAAATCAATATTTACGAAAATTGGAGTAGACTATCTAACAGTCTTCTTACAATGCTATAAATTAATATTTTAACTATAATCTACAACATCTCTAATAAAATTTTTCTTTTCTAATCTTTAGTAAAGATCCCTATAACGACTAAATAAATGATCAAATTATTATTCCTATCTATTATAAAAGTCTTAGTAAATGTTTAGAATGATTGAGAATCTGAGTATTTTATTAATTTTTATTATAGACTAAAAATATTGTAAGTAGATGGTTAATATGGATGGAACTAATTGTTTTAATCTCTTTTTTGAAGACATCCTCCAATGTAGATGATATATTTAATTTTTTTATCTTGAGGCATTTGCAATAATAACCAAGTAGTTTTCTTGAAAATAACTCATGAGTAATTAAGCCAAGTTATCTGTTCTTCATCAAACTGATTAAACGTAAAGAAACTTTATTAAACTTTAGAAAAATCTGATTAAAAAAATGATAAAAATAAAAATAATTGTTGGTTTCTATAATTATATTATTTCTAAATATAATTTTCATCTCAAATAGATATTTATTTTGTATGAATGCAAAATAAATTTTAAAAACATATTTCTAATAAAATTATTTTTATTCTACTTTAGATTTAATTTATTTTTTTAGTTCAATAAAATAAATAAATGGAAAACATTAAAATAAATTTAAAAAATTGAATAATTTAAAATTATAAACTCTTTCTAAAATGACTACAATGACCTGTTAGTCTTAAATATATTATACATATTTTATATGAGATTTAAGATTTTTATTAAATTAAATAATTTACACAATAATATTAATATATATTATTAATATCGATTCACATTTTGGAAGAAGAACGACCAATAACTAAATTTTAAATTAGTATACAAGGCTAATCATCAGAGTCAGCTTCATAATTATCTTCATCATTATATTAAAAGTTTTCACATGACTTAACTCTCAAATCACTAAATTATTTTTATGTGTTGAAGTTGATATGACTACCACAATAATGATTAAGTTTGGAGGTATTAAATGATTTAATAGTTCCAACAGGGCTTTAAGCATCGTTTAAAATAATACTATTTTTGGGAACCTCTAAATACATGATCTGATTTCGACTATTATTTAATCTACCATTTATAAATTTAGTTTCTTGTTATGCTATTTTTTTCATAGAGTTTAAAACTTCTTATTATTTATCATCTTGTAGATCATCAAATTAGTTATCATTTTCTATCATATCAATTGAAACACTCATTTTATCATTTTAGGTTTCTAATAGAGATTCCCAATCCATTTTGGCATCAGTTGTCAATTCATCTTGTAATAATTTAGTCAAAGCCATGTAATCAGGAGTTTAAGTAAACTCATAAGACTTTGCAATCTTAAGCATTTTCATTAAACACTATGGATAAAGGAAATTGTACTTTAGGGATTTTTTCAGTGTATTTTTCTAATTCATTATTTTATTTGAGTATTAAAATTTATTTGTATTTTTCTTCTTTAGAAGCAACTTGAATATTTTACCAAGGCAATTCTCCAAGATAAAAATAGATAAGAACGTATACAATGGCTTCAATATCATCTCTTCTACTTTACTCATTGCCTTATCAAATAAGAAACAAACCTAATAAAGCATTAATGCTTGCATATCTGGCTGTTCCAATTAAACCCTTGTTATTTACAAATGGAATATGTTTGCCTGCTGTATCTCTATAATATTTGGCTAAACCAAAATCAATAGCCATTATTTAACTAGCATCTTGTCTACTGATTGTAAAATTTTCTGGCTTAATATCCCTATGGATTAGATTCTTTTCATGAAACACTTATCTAAATATACCAATCAAGATACATACAATCTTTCAATGATCTATATACCTATTCTTAATGTTGTATGAATAGAGAACCTATTCCCACATTTTCTTAACAATTACTCTAAATTTAAGCCTAAGTAGGTTTCCATAAAGAAATTATAATTTTCATCTCTTCCATAGAATTTGATTTATGGAAAACCTTTTTAAAGCATAAATATTAATCTAACCTTTCAATCCATTAACTTCAGTTAGAACCTTAATTTCTCTGATGAGGAGACTGACTCCTTTTTAGGAATCATCTCGTTTTTCAAATTTTGCTGCTACTAAATCTCCATTTTTTAAATACTAAGACTTAAACACCATTCCAAATGAACCTGCACCAATCTTTTCTAATAATTTATATTTGCCTGCAATAACCATTCCTACAGTCAATTTCTTCTATTTCTACACAACTGCTTCATCCATTTATTAAAAATTATATATTATTATCATAATCATCAATCAAAGTCATCAATATCTTGCTTCTATATTTCTATCTTTTTTGCAGTTTATCTTTGTTTCTTTTTCTTTCTATCCTTTGAAACCCTATCAATATAAGATCCAGCTTTAAAAACATCAAAAATTTTCATATGCATAATCTTATTAATATTATTTGTATATGCAAAGAGTCTTAACAACACATATTCCTTTTAAATATCTGTAAGATCTAAAAATAATTAATCCAAACAATAAAACAGATCTTTAGGTTTCATAAATCCATGTTATTATTTATTTAGTAAATCAAATTAACTTCTCAATGCTGTTTCATACTTATTAACAATAGCACTCACTTCTTCCCATAATTATTTATCTTATTCAGCAGTCAATAAATCATAACAATTAAGTAAATGTCTGAAAACAGATTTTACCACTGGTAATTTAACAGTAGCTTAAGGATCCAAACTAACAATTTCTTCACTAACATCTTCTACAATATATCTTGCTATTAATTTAGCTTCATTTGGATCAGCCATTGTAAATGGTTCTTATAGCAATTACTCTTATAATTATTCAACATTTATAGTATTATTGATTGCAGATTAAATTAAGATAATGCATGCTTCATTTACTGTTATTTATTTTAATTACAATCTTAAACTCAATTCTTTTCCCATATCTTAAACTTATTCATATCTAACTCTTGGTGCTTTTGGAAATTTCTTTTCTTATTTGTTGTAAACATCATGCAAAATTGTAAATGTATGATCTCGATTTCCCTATATTATTGGTAATGTCTCAGTTTCTAAGGGTTAGATTTCTGCTAAGTAATATTCATTTAATTCCTTTAATTCATCCCTCATCTATTATACTTACTAATTTAATGCTTATAGTTCATCAATTAATGCATTTTTGCTTCTTAATTCATAATTAGTTCTTTCCTACAACTTTTCTTTCAATTAATTAATTATCTACTCTTATTAACTAATTTATTAATCTTTCTCTATTATTTCTGCTTTTTTATCATCTATATCAATAACTTCCTTTTTCTTAATTGTTACTTTTTAATTTTATTGTGTTTCTTTTTATTTTTCTTCAAATTTAATCATTTCTTTTTTTAAATATCTAAGATCTCTTTCTTTTTCTTTTAGTTCATTTTTTGTTTGGTCTAATTCTAAATATTATTATGAAATCTTTTTTTCAAGTAAACTTTTTTGAATTGAAAGATTTTCACTTTATTCTTCTAATAATTTTTTGGTTATTTCTAATTCTTAGATTTCTACCTTTAATTCCTCAACTTCATCTGGCATCAAATTTTATTCTTATTTTAATGATGATGAACAATAATTGAGATATTCTATAAGAATATTTTATTCTTATGCTCTAGTATAATTAGGATTCTTTTATAATTATTTTATTTAGCTTTGTTTTTCTTCAATTTGAGAATTAAGCTAATTAATTTAGATTTTCAGTTTTATTCCTAGCCAACTTTAATTTCCTTATTTTTCATCTTAAGTGATCTTTGTCTTTTATTTCTCTTACTATTTTTTGGATATTTTAAATTTACTTCTATAAAATGCATTTGCTATTAGAGATTTCGTTATTCGAATTGCAATTTAGACAATGTTTTAGAAAGTTAGAATTATTTCTATTACAGATTTTCTTCTGATAATTTTTAATTCATTTTGAAAGCCTTCGGTGATTGATTATGTTTTGGTACTCCAGCTGTAGATGGTCTTTTCATTAAATATTAATTTATTTCAATTATATACAATTAAAATATATATTAATTTTATATTAACTAGACAATCTGAGATAATAAATATAATAATAATATAATTTGTTTAATGTTTTAACCCAACTAAAGCCAAATCAAATATCACAATCAATTTGGCACAAATTCTGCTGTCTACTTCTCCTAATAATAAACATCGAGAGATAAAGTATTTGATATAGTCTAATATAGTTAATACAATCTAGAGATGTTTCAGAAAATAAACAATTTTTGTAATATCCTGTTTCTTAAATTGTTTATGGTCCTTCAAAGAAAATTGTTCCATCTTAACAAACAAATAATGCTTTTCGTAAAATATCTAAAGAACTTAACATTAAAATTGAAAACCAAGGTAATCAACATTAACCTTTACGTTAACCATCTCCTAATGTAAAGAAATAGAGAGAATAATTGGAAAAAGATTGGAATAAATTAATCGATAAAACTAAAATACTCTAAGAAAATCTTGTTTTACTAAAAAATAGCATTAGTATGAATTTAACCAAAAAACTACCAGATTAGCGTTTATCAAAAGAATCTACTTCAACTGCAGCTGGTCTTTCTTCCAGAATGAAATTGTAGAAAGTTAATATTAATTGTAAACTCAATTCTCCATTCAAAGTTTAACCAAAATAAGAACTTAGTAAGAGTCTTAGTTAAAATACATTTACTAATTTAAATTAAGTAGCTAATCCTATTTAAAATACTGTAATTAATAACACAAGCATTGTGACATTTACAAATAATTCAAGTATTCGAAAATCTTAAGATTCCTGTACTTTATAACCTAAAATTACATCTCAATTTCCATCTTAGAAATAAACTTAAAGTTTATATTCATCAATAGAATATAGATTAAAACTTAAAATTGGTTCATTTTTAGGAAGAGGTAAATTTAGTGATGTTCATATGGCAATTGATTAAAGATCTGGATTAATATTTGCACTTAAAATAATAAAAAAATAAACAGTTATTGAACATGAAATGTAAGAATAATTGGCTAGAGAAATTAACATATAATCTAAATTATCACATCCAAATATTGTTAAGATGTATGGATAAACATATGATTAATCAAATATATATATGATGTTAGAATTTTGTAATAATGGAGAATTATTTTAACATTAATACAAATAATCTAATAAAAGATTTAATGAGAAAGATTCTGGCATTTTTATTATGTAAATATTATCAGCAATTCAATATATGCATAAATAAGGATATATGCATAGAGATTTAAAAACTGAAAATATCCTATTGTCTCTTGTATTCCTTTTTTATATTTTAAGAATTATGTAAAGCTTTGTGATTTAGGATGTGTTAGAGAGATTCCATCAAAAGAAGATAGAAGAAATACTTTTTGTGGAACTGTTGATTATATTGCTCCTGAAGTAATTAAAGATTAAGGATATGATGAGAGATGTGATGCATGGTAAGTGGCTATATTAGCATATGAACTAGTTGCTGGTAATACTCCTTTCTCAGAATATCCAAGAGATGATGAATCAATTATGGAAAATATATTAAAAGTAAATTAAATCATATTTTTAATAGAATAAATTTGATTTACCATCAACATTCTCTCCTGCACTTAAAGATTTTGTTAAAAGAGGATTGTAATAAAGACCTGAAAATAGAATTACTATTGATTAAATGCTATAACATAAATGGATTCTGGATAATAATAATAAAGGAAATGATAGAGAATTTATATTTTGATACCTATCTTTTTTATACTTTCAGAAATCTGAAATTATCAAACTTATTTTAAAATTTGATTTCAGAAAAACTTTTCTCTAAAATTTTCAAATGTATATTTATATGATCAAAATCCATTCTCCTCTCTTTATCATAATCAAATTATATTGAACAAATTATTATAGTTTATTTAATTTGCTCTATACATTTTATCAATTAAGGCTTAATCGTTATCATTATTCATTTATACCTCCATTCTTTTTCGTTTAACTCTATTTCATTTTATATTTATACATAATTTTAGAAGGATATTCCTGTTTTGTAAAAAGAATTTTTGGTTCAATTAGAGTTGATAGATTTAATTCTCTTCTTTAATGAAGATCTTTAATTTCATCATATAATCTAAAAATATCATCATCAAAAGTTTTATTTCTATAATGAAGTGAATTCATCTCTTTTGATGTATCCATTTTTGTTGGTGTAATTGTAGAACGATACTTTGTGTCTGGAGTATTCATTTCAATAGCTGATATGCTAGAGAACTTACGCATTTCTTGAGTAATAAATTCTTATTCTGTTTCTTTGAATTAAGGAGATAATAATTGTTCTCTAACTCTTTCTTACATTTATTAAATTTAATTAGAAATTATGTCATGTAATATATATTATCATAAATATTTTTAAAATAATAAGAAATATAAATTATTCTATAAATGTTAATAATCAACTTATATGACAACATTTTTTATCCTTTTTTTATAAAAATTCATTATTATTATGTTATTTCCAACTATCAACAATATAAATTTTATGAATTTTTCATCCATATAATATTATTTCTAAATGTTATTTGTATCCTTTTAGTATTGGATGACCTTATCTATTGACTCTCATTTTTTTGACTAAGTTTTTTTGAGTTTAAATGAATNAAAGTAAATTAAATCATATTTTTAATAGAATAAATTTGATTTACCATCAACATTCTCTCCTGCACTTAAAGATTTTGTTAAAAGAGGATTGTAATAAAGACCTGAAAATAGAATTACTATTGATTAAATGCTATAACATAAATGGATTCTGGATAATAATAATAAAGGAAATGATAGAGAATTTATATTTTGATACCTATCTTTTTTATACTTTCAGAAATCTGAAATTATCAAACTTATTTTAAAATTTGATTTCAGAAAAACTTTTCTCTAAAATTTTCAAATGTATATTTATATGATCAAAATCCATTCTCCTCTCTTTATCATAATCAAATTATATTGAACAAATTATTATAGTTTATTTAATTTGCTCTATACATTTTATCAATTAAGGCTTAATCGTTATCATTATTCATTTATACCTCCATTCTTTTTCGTTTAACTCTATTTCATTTTATATTTATACATAATTTTAGAAGGATATTCCTGTTTTGTAAAAAGAATTTTTGGTTCAATTAGAGTTGATAGATTTAATTCTCTTCTTTAATGAAGATCTTTAATTTCATCATATAATCTAAAAATATCATCATCAAAAGTTTTATTTCTATAATGAAGTGAATTCATCTCTTTTGATGTATCCATTTTTGTTGGTGTAATTGTAGAACGATACTTTGTGTCTGGAGTATTCATTTCAATAGCTGATATGCTAGAGAACTTACGCATTTCTTGAGTAATAAATTCTTATTCTGTTTCTTTGAATTAAGGAGATAATAATTGTTCTCTAACTCTTTCTTACATTTATTAAATTTAATTAGAAATTATGTCATGTAATATATATTATCATAAATATTTTTAAAATAATAAGAAATATAAATTATTCTATAAATGTTAATAATCAACTTATATGACAACATTTTTTATCCTTTTTTTATAAAAATTCATTATTATTATGTTATTTCCAACTATCAACAATATAAATTTTATGAATTTTTCATCCATATAATATTATTTCTAAATGTTATTTGTATCCTTTTAGTATTGGATGACCTTATCTATTGACTCTCATTTTTTTGACTAAGTTTTTTTGAGTTTAAATGAATATGAGATATACTTGGAATTTCCATTTATTGTATTTTTGTTTAGATTTTTTTAAAATTATAAAAAATAACAATTACATTTAATTATTAAGGAGAAAGATTCTTTGTCTGTCTAATAAATTTTGAATGATTTCTTTAATATCTTACTTTTTTTGTATTAAAATAACACAAAATTGAAAATTATCCACATCTTAATTAAATGATAATAAAATAATTTTATGAGCAAAAGATAAACCCGCCCCTTATTCATTCCAAAACCAGAAAATGGAGAATTCCCATTTGATATAAAAAATGTTAATACTAATGATATCAAACCTATAGACTTTTTTAGGATGTATAATTCCTTATAAATGATGGTTGAAAAGTTAATTCAAGATTAAGTAAAAATTTATTTGATTTGAGGTTGTTCAATAAAAAGTTTAAACAAATATTGATGCCATATTTCGAGTATTTATTGAGAAAGACTTGAATCCTCCTCCTCCATAGAAACTTGTAGGAAGAAGAAGTTCACCATATACCTATCAAAAACAAGAGTTTTGGTAGTTGGTTGAACACCTTAATTCTTTAGGCTTTTCATATCGTTAAATATCTGAGAGACTTTAAGTTCACTATGTCCAAATTTCGACTCATCATCGAAATACTGTTGACTATGATGATGATTCTGAATAGGAATCATCTTAAGTTAAAAAATAAACTAAAGAAAGATCGAAATAAGAGTAAATGGTAGAAAAATAACCATATCAATTTTGTGATGTATTTTATTCAGATGATGAAAAAGGATCAAAATGAGGGTTTAACAATTAAATCAAATTTTCTTTTTTGCTACATAAAATAATAAAATCTATAAAGTTATTACCAAAAATAACATATCAAATCATTTATTACCCATAATCAACCTTGAGTCTTATTCTAGACAAAGATTCATTCTTGCTATATTCATATCCCATCTTCTAATCTTTAAATACTTTCTAAATAAAAAGTAATATGTAAATATTTTTAATATATATAAAACCATCAAAAACTAAAATAATCTCATTGTTAATTTATCTAATGTTTAAAATAAATGAGATAAAGTGGAATCTCCTAAATTTAAAACTGATTGCTTATCAGAACAATTAAAAGATTAACATTATTTAAAAGTAAAAATATAAATTTGATCGTTTTATGATTTTGTTAACATCTCTTGAAAAACATTCAAAAATATGCTAATAATCATATTATAATAAAATCTTTTAGATAAATAAAATAATAGATATCTTAATTTTTATTCTTTTTGATATATGAGAATTGAATCTAAAGTAAAACCTGTAGGCAAATTTATTATTATTACTACCTTCTATTTTTCAAAAAGATATACTAACTTTATCATACTTTTTTAAAAGATTACTTTTAGACAAAATAACTAAATTTAAAACTAATATCATTTGATTTTTACCATTTTATTTATCACTAACTCTAAGATAACTTTTATTATTATTTCTCTATTTTGGAATTAAATAAATTCTATTATTTGTAGGAATTAATCAAATTGTATCCTTTTTTATTGGTCATTTTATCAAGTATTCAGGTTCTTGACCCAAGTACTTTATTTTTATTAATTATCCATTTTAATATAAAGCTGACTCTTAAAATACTTCATAATTATTGAATTTGTATATCTTGATCATTTTAATTTTTATAAACTTAATAATCTTATTTCTTAACCCTTTAGTAAACATTTTTATATTACATATAGGTCCTTATCCAAGTATCGTTATTTGTTACAGAAAATTTGAAAATTAAGTGACTTAAATGTTTTATGGTAATTTTGATTATTAAATTAAATAAATGTATTTATAAAATTAATGGTTGAAATTATATAATGATATATAATAATATTTTGATATAGAATTAATCTTATAAGACAGTAATTCTTCATGATAGATAGTAAATGATATTCTAGTGGATATAGAAATTGCAATAATAATTTAATTTTTTTAATTCTCTTATATTAATAAACATATAAGGTTAAATAAATGCATAATAAGTTTAAACCTATTAAAATTAATGACACAACATTAGGATCAACAGAAACAAAAAGCATCCTCTTACTTACAGAAAGCCCATCATAATTCAAAACAAAATAATAATTGAGTCTTTAAAAGAAACTCTCAAAATTGGAACCATTAATAATAGAAAAAGATAATCGAAATGATTTAAGAAGCTAAGAAAAGCGATTATTAAATGATATTGGTGTTAATTAGGTTTTAGATTGGAAATCATTTATGCAAAAGGATGCTGAAAAAATCAAAGAATTTAATGAAACAACAGAGTAGCTAAGAAAAAGCTCAATTTAATCTTAAAATTCACAAATTTTCATATCACCATAGAAAAATGATAAATTCAATACATCTTAATTTGATGTTAAAAGATCTTTGATAAATTTGAAGTCTATTGATAACGATGACTTTCTCGAGAAGATGAAACTAGGAAAGTAAGACAAATATTTAAAATTTAGCAAACAGTTACCAAATTTGACGACAACAGAATTTATGAAGTGCGTTAGATAAAAGGAAAAATTAACTGAATATGCAAAAGTATATTAACAATTTCCATAAAATTTATATTTAAAATTGAACAACTGTATGATACTTTTGTTTTATTGATTAGCTTAAAATTTAGTACCAAAAACCTTTGGATTAGTATCTACTTAAGGAAATGTATTAACTCAAGTAAATGCATCAAGATATTTAAGAAGTATTAGTGATTGTGAAGTTTATGCATAAGCTATGAAAACTTAATAATCACAGGGAATATAGAAAATGCAATTAAATAACAATATTTATGATCCAAGATAATTTAAAGAATTATTAACTAGTTTTCCTAATACAATAAGAGAACTAGAATTAAAAGACTGCAAACTAAATTTTAAACATATAGATACATTGATGACATATGTTAATAAGAATCTGATCTTCAAATTGAACTTAGAATAAAATTTACTTAGAGATTAGGGTTGCAATATTTTGTTTTAATATCTAATGAGCAACAATACATTGTAGTGCTTAAATTTGTGTAATAATAAAATAACAGAATCTTCAAGCATAGCATTGAGTAATGTTTTAAAATAATCCCAAAGATTATTTGAATTATATTTAGGATTTAATAATCTCTAAATCAATGGAGGTATTTAAATATGGAAGGCAATGTACAAGAATACAAGTATAAAAATTTTAGATATGTCTCATAATGCAATGACATCTTTGGAATGTGCATAAGCAATAGCCAAAGCATTATCTCGTTCTTATAATGAATTAGTTCATATTGATCTTAGATATAATAAATTTAATCAGTAATAAAGCTAAATAATAGCTGAGGGAATGATAAAAAATGAAACTATCTATGGATTTCATTTTGAAGGCAATTATTAAGATATAATTATGAATCCTAATGGATTTCTTATGAATAGAAGAGAAGAACTTAAAATAAAAAAATAGAAAATAGATTAATTAAATAAACAACCTTAATACTTTAAATTGTTGGATGAAGAAAAATTAGAAAATTATAATAAATTAAAAACTGATGATGATTTATGTTTAGCTTATCTTAGAAGCAGAAGAATGAAATCTACTGAATTAAATAAATAAAAAGTAAATATGATAAATAAATTGGATGTTTGTTGGATATGTGAAGGTTGGTAAGAAATTAAATTTTAATGGAATCCTAAATCAGGACCCTTGTAAACTGAGCCAATTTTTATACATTTTGATTTCGATGATTACAAACCATATTTAATGACTTTTTTAAATAAAGAGTTCTTCTTTGTTAAGATGTGTCCTCCTAATACATCTATCAAATATTTTTTTACAAATCCTATTTTAGGAATTTAATGTATTGCAGAAGATCAAAATGTATTATCTTTACATTAAGCACTTCCATCTATTCCTTTTCTATACAACAATGAAATTTTAGTTGATGGAAACACTATGACAATGATTAATGAACTAATAACAAATAACAATCAAATTTTATTTGATAGATATGTACCTTTAATATAAGTTAAACCAAGAGAAACTATGGTATTATTTGATTTTTCTCCATATTTGAATATTGCTTCTACTAAATGGTCTGTAGAAACATCAATATTTAGATACTTTCCACCTGATACTGATTAATTAATAGAAGAATGTTTTGAATTTGATTACTAAAATTCTAAAATAAATAGACTAGTTAAAGAAACAGAATTATAAGATGTCAAAGAAATATTAAAGTAATTCTATTTTTAACTATTTAATTGTTATAAATATTTTGCATCAGGAAACCCAACTGCTCCTGTATATAATATTTATAATATTTTAGATACCATGTTTAGGACCTACTGATTATATTGAATTTCTAATTTCAAATGATATTTTGGAAGGAGTTAAACCTAATGATATTGATATTGGATTTACTTCAACAGCAGGTGCTAAGGATGTATCCTTCCCTTAAGCATATGAAAAAGGAATTGTGAGATGTTAATTAATGGAAGTCTTAGTTAGATTTTGTAACGATAAATATATCAGGAGTGGATTATGTTAAACTATGATAGAAGGATTATCATAATTATAGTCATAATGTTAGGAGTTTTTATCAAAATTTGATACTTCTTAATCTTGGAGGAGAATGAGATTATGGAATGAAAAATGTGATATACTTATTCGGGATAGAATGCCAATGATTAAGTGTCTCTATAAATATACTTGCAAATTAAGTAAAAAACCTTAACAATATAAATATGATTACATTTCCCCTTAAGATTTTAAAGATTTATTAAAATCATCTAATGTTTTATGTGATGAATTAACTGATAGAGAATGTTATCTTGCCTACTTATAAAGTATGATTACTTAAAAAGATGAATTATTTTCACCAAAACATTTTTAGATGACCATTTACGAATTTATCGAGGCTATCGCTAGAATTGCCGAAAAGGTTTCTATTATAAGAGGGGAATAAGCTCTTGAAATTGAAAATAGAAGAGCTTAAGCTTTACAAGATAAAATATCTGGGTTGCTTCTTTTGATGTATCTGACACTTATAGATGAAATTAAAAAGGCTCTTCCAAATGAGCCAGATGTGAAGCTACTTGATAATTGTATGAATAATGATTTCAGATCCAAAAAATAAAAGCTTGAGGATTCATTTACTGATGGTGATGAACCTCCATATGATGTTAAAGTTGAATTACCTGTTTTAATTTCATAAGTTCCAAATCTGTAAGGCAATTAAAATGGGCCTGCTAAAAGAATCACAATTCGAAATATAAAACTGTTAAAGCCCACTACTACCAAGTACTCTCTCACCAATTTTGTACAATTCTTTATTAGCTTAAATGAAAGAACCTGATTTTATTTAATATCCTCATAATTTATATGTATTTAATGGTATTATTTTTAAAAGTTTTGGTTTTGTTATAATTTTTACATTTAAGTTAATTACAACAGTCAATCATGGAGAATTGAGCTTGTTTTATAACCATTTCAGATACAGAGCTTGTTCTCTATCACTTTGTAGGTTTTCCACAAACGATGCAAGTTCAGAGTCTATTCCAAAAGTCTTCAGATAATTTAAAATGTCATTTTATAACTTATTTATTATTAGATTGTTACAGTATCATCTAAACAATGATAATTTCCTTCATATTCAGTAATATCTCTATCATTTCTTGGAATTAGTTTATGTTTTTCAATATTATCAATTATTTAGACCATATTAATTTATATCTATATATAAATGAATGTCATATTTACTTTGCTTCTGTAAGCTGAACATTCATAATAAGTAATTAATCCATTCCCTTTAGTTAGATAAATACTAAAAGGTATATGATTCAAATAAGGATCTTAGAAATATTAAACTAGAGTTTCAGTCTCATTTAATACAGCTAACTTCTAGAAATCTGATTATTCTTCATCATATAATTCTTCTTTATTCAAACAATCAATGCAAATTAAAATTTAAACATTTTCTACTGTTTTACTTAATTCTAATTTTAATTCATCTTCGAAATCTTGTACCTTAAATCCTTTGATTTCAGTCTAATCTGGATTTGATTATGTATTCTTTAAAATCATAGTTTCAAATATCATGCCTCTTTCAATAAGTTGATATAAATGATCTTATTTTAGTTTCAATAGATACTTTTCTCTATTATTGCTTATGGAATATTTAATCTAAATCCAGAATAGTTCAAAGGAAGAAGAGTTCTAGCTACTCTTAGAGGTATTTTTGTTATCATTAATGTTATATTTATAAAATTAAATAAATAATTACATAAAAAAATCAGATTATTATGGGTGTTTCAATTTGTCAATAATCATGTTCTATTAATAATCATGGTGTGACTAAATAATAGTTAGAACTTTTACCTTTAAATTTAGATTCTAAATGTAATAAATGTTAAATCCAGCTTGTAGCAAATTAGCTCAAAATCAAAATTTAAGAAGCTACTAAAATTTGTTGTATTTTACCAGATGATCCTGTGAGTAACAGAATTTCTTTAATTAGGTTCAAGCAGAGAATAATCTAGTATATATGATAGACCAGAAGCTTAGACTCCTTATTTACCTTATTCTAATTAAGAAAGCAAATAATAATCTAACTAATATATTCAATTATTTGGTAAAGATTTTACATAATCAATTAAAATTTAATCATAATTAGTGAGTTCTAATAATGAAGATATATTATAATGTATATGTATCAAAATTTAGAATAGAATTTTAGTAATAATAATCTGGTTAATCTTATCCTAGATTTTGTAATGAAGAAAACAAATAATAAATATATAGTTTATAAGTTGTTGAGGATAATGTAAACTTTCATTTTCATTCAAGCTTGATGATTATTTACATTTCGATTGGAAAAATTCAAAATTTTAACTAATTAGTATTAATGAACAAAATTTATTAACAAAATCAAATCCTACAATACCTACAAAAAAATAAATTAGAAAGTAATTATAATGAACATAATATTAATTCTTTCATTTGTTTGATAATACTTCATCACTTACATTCTAATATTCAAGGTTTCTATTTTCTATTTTTTCTATAATATTTTATATATACATACCACTGGCATCTCTGAATTTACTTTTTATAAGCAAGTAAAATTCATGGTTTCTTCTTTTGTAATTTTTATGACTTAATTTAAAGCAACTGTCACATTAGATTGGTTTTTCACATTGTTTGCAAATCAATTCTGCTAAATCTGTTTTGCAAATTTAGCAGTTCTCACTGTAACCTAATCCGAAACTAACATTTATGGCTTAATTTGTAATAGGAATTCCTCTTTTATTTCTTCTAAAAATCTTTTATATTAAAATAATTTTTGGTATAATTTAAAGCATTTATTCTTAATTATTTAATTTCTCTTCACTTTTCATACTCATAAATTGTTAAGATATAAATCTTTCTACTTTATTTGCTTTTTTATCTTTTAACTTTTTCTTTTATAATTCTTATTGTTTTAAAAGTTCCTACTCTTTTCTTTCTAATTCATATTTCTTTTATTATTTTACAAAATCTTCTAACAAATTAAGACATTATTTTTTATAATTTCTTTATTTTTTTTCAAAAAATGTTAGTAAAGCTTTTGCACAACCTTTTAAACCAGTTAATTTTCTGGTTAATCTTTTTTTCATTAAAAATCCTCTTGTACATTTTTATACAATTATCACATAATGCATTTTCTGTAATTCTTTTTCATCTTACTATTATTCTATCTTCTCCTTATTTAGTATTAATTATTAGAGAATATTCTATTTTTATCCTCCTTGTATTTCAATTTCATTTTTAATTTTCAATTCTTTTTTATATTTATTTTTCATTTATTCCATAGATAGCAATTTCAATTATAATCTTTGATTTTATGTTTGCACTTAATTAAATTTTTCTTTAATCAATAATACTTCTTAACATCGATCCCCAAGATCTTTCATTAATTAATCTATATTTTCTTTAATCATCTATTTTTTATCATCTAATTCAGCAACAACTTTATTTCTTTTATCTTGAATTAATCTTAATTCTTGTCTTAATTAATCACATTATTATTTAACTTTCCCTTTATCAGATGTTGTTCCTTTTAAAGATTCAATTAGTTTTTCTATTTTTTTAAGTTTTTTGATTAATTTATCATACTTTGGCTTAGATTCTCTTTCCTTTTTATTTTCATCTTCAATCTCTTTTTAAATATATTTCTATAAATATTTTAAATGTAATCTTCTTTCTTCCAGTATGATTGGATTTAAAATATCTTTAATATCTCCCATAATTTTAATATATTATTTTTGATTCTCTAGTCCTGGAGTAAGAAATGTAATAAATTCTTATTCTGTAAGAACACCATCACTATTTTAATCCAACATTTGAATCAATTATTATATTTCTGATTATTTAATATTTAAACTAAATAAATAAGGATATAAATACTTAAGTCTACAAATATTATTTTATATTTCTTTAATAGTTAATACTCCATCTTTATCTTCATCTAATAAAGCATAAGCATCATTTAATTTTAAATCATTTTTCGCAATTTAATTTGCTACTTTTAATGCTATATCAGGTTCAGAAATATTATCTACTCCTAATACTTAAGATTATGCTTCACTTATTAATTCAGTTTTTAAATCATCCAATCCTTATTTAAGTCTTATCTTTCTTAAACTTTAATACTCTCCATTGATTTAAATTACATTTTCTTTTCTACTCTCTAATTCTATCTGTTTGTCTAATTCTTTTATTCTCATTTCTTAATTCTTCACTTCGTCATTTAATAATTAATATTCCTTTCTAAGAGCTCTTAAAATATCTAAATCTTTTTTCATCTAATCCTTATTATCTTCTTCTTTCTCTTTAATTAATTCCTTTCTTTTTGCTTCATAAACTTATTTTATTTCTTATTACTTTTCAGTATTTACTTGAAGTACTTTATTATCTTTTTCTAAGGCCTTCTCTTATGCTTTTCTGATATTATTCTACTTTATTTTTAATAATTCATCTTATTCTTATTAAAATTTTATTGCTTATTCTTTTTCTCTTTTTTTCTATTCTACAAAAGCAGTACGTTCTTTTTCTTTATCTCTTTAAGATTTATCATCTGCATCAATATCTAATTTAGATTTAATTCCTGCCCCTATTCTAACATCAAACAAATTCTTCTTAGGCTTTGCTTCACTTCCTTTTCCTGGTTTCTTTATTTCAATTTCTATTTAAATCAAATATTTATATTATACATTTTGGATTATCCTTAACTACTACTTAAACACTTAACTTTTTCCCTAAATCTTTAGTTAAAATCGCTGCTTTCTATTGATTATTTAATTATGGATCTTCTAGTTTAGCTTTTGTTTATTTATCAAATGTCAATTTCTATTTAGTAACTACTTTCTGTTTTATTTAAGGTTTTGGTTATTACTTTTCTATTTTCTCCTAAATATATATTTCATCTTCTCTTTTTTGCATTTTCTATTGTTTTTCCTTGTGTTTTTTCATTAGTTAATTAACCATCTCTTATTAATTTGATATCTTTCCTGTCTTTTTAACTCCTTTTTTTTATACTCCTTTTTCTTCTTTTGCTATCTTTACAGATACTGCATCTATACTCTCTAAATTTACATTCTTTTCAGTTTACTTAATTAATTATTTATCATTTTACCATTGATTATTCATATTGACTTTCTTCAACCTCCTAATCTTGTTCTTCCTAATTTTATTAAGATTTCTCTATATTATCAACTTATTAATTTTCTTCTTTCTATCCCTCATTTTCTTCTTCTCTCTCTTAATCTTCTTATTAATCCTATTCATTATTATCTTAATTTTCATCATCTCCATCATTATTATTCTCCCTTAATAATTTAATATATTTTATTACTACTCATTATTCTCCTCCTCTTCATTATTAAGTTATGATTATTTATTATTAGATTTATCCAAATTTTCATTCTACTCCTCATTTTCCTATTCATTTTGCTATCTTTTGAATAATTTATTGATTTTACTCCTCATTTTCGTAATCTTCTCCATATTCTTAATCACTCATCCTTATTTTTTATAAAAATTAAAAAGTTTTTGATTAAAATAATTGCAAAAAGATTTTATATATATAATAATTACATCTATCTATACCTAATTAAAGAATTTAGCAATTTTTTAGTTAATATTATATTTTCTATTTAACAATAAAATAGTTTGATTGAAATTTGAAATATTTGTGTAAAATATTTAAAACAATATTCGATTATTTTATTATATTTATATGTTTATTTTATGGATAGCTTATAATTTTCAAATAGATATTCCTCCAGTAAAAGCTTTTAGCGATTTAATAGTTAATTTAACTAATTTAGATTTATTTAACTATAAAATTGTGATATTTATATAATTATAAATAAGATGAACAAATATAATTTAAGATTTAAAGATTAAGAATTAGAAAAAAAATATTAAATTCATAAAGTTAAGGACATCCAATTCCCAACACTAACTTACATAACTTTGGGCGGTACTCCTTTAATACTTATAAATGCAATTTCAAAAGTTATAAACCTAGATTACACAGATGCTTTAATTAATGGAATATTTCTTATCTACATGTTAATCTAGTATGTAGTATTAAGAAAAAATGAATTCTTTAGAGTCAATTATTGTAATTTAGCATTGGTGATAACTAATTTTGCATCATTATACTATGAAATATCCCCATAATAATCAGATTATTATAATGGTTATATCATGGGATCTAATTAAATGCTTATTCATACACTGTTGATGTTTGCATGTAACTTAGAAATTGGTGTTTTTAGTAATTTAGTTCTTACAGTTGTTAGAGTTATTTTAGCTAATGAATACTCATAAAGCATGTCAATTTAACAGTATTTGTAAACTATCATAATGCCCTGTAGTTTCATTATTGTACAATATTAAATTGAAAAATAATTTAGAGATTCATATTTATTGTCATTAAAAGACAACACATGGGGTATTTTTTAATATTATATTAAAGAAATTTTAATACCACTGTTATTGAGAAAACCATTTTTTATCTTTGCTTTTAACCAAGAAATAAATATGTATTAAGCTATCATGAGTAATCAAAATTCATTTTTTAATTCCGATTCTCCTTTGAGTACCTTTCTATTTTAATCAAAAGTTAAGAAAAAATCACTAGAAGCCTATTTAGTAAAGAAATCTAATCATAAAGGAAAGTTTAATAAGTTTCCCTGTCTATTTAATTAATAAGTTAACTTAGAATATTAGTTAAAAAAATTATAAGTCTCAGTAATTGGATGTAAATTTGAAAGAATTATTTATGCTGTGATAATCGATTCTGAAGATCCACTTTTAAGAGAATCAAAAATTAAATTTAATTAATCTTTATAATAATGTAAAGATATTTTAAATGCATAAATCTTGTAAATTAACAAAGTTTTGACACTTCATTTATCACAAACATATAGTTCTTTAATTAGAAATTTAAGAATATCTCTTTATGAAATCTATTATAAGCAAATTGATAATAAAAAAATTCAATTAGTAAAAATGAAGAAACTTTTACTCAAATGTTAAAAGATATTTGAGACTCCAACTAATAAAATTAAGATTGATTGTTAAGAAAATGCTAGATTCGCAACAATTAAACCTACATTAATTATATTTTTATTTGAAATATTAAAGTTAGTAGATAATAATTAATAAGTCTTCCTTTTGGTCAATTAAAATATCACAACTACATTATTTATATATGGATTAAAAAATTTACCTACATCAGTTCTTTTTCAATAAAGTCAATAAGTTCTAGTTGAACGAACAATTAACACTGCACAATGTAATATTATATATAATTAAATAAATTAGATTTTTCCTTTGAATTTATGAAGTCTCCTTAAACTACTTTTAATTATGAGAATTAAATTAAACAAGAATCAATTGTTTGATAATATTTCATTTTTATATGATTTTAATTATGATATATTCAATTCTTATGTTTAAAATCTAAAATAATATTTAGTAATTTTTAATTGATATCAATTTGACTCTCAATAATCGCTAAGTAAAGCAATTATTTTCTAAAACTATTGATATCTTATTAATTATATTGGTTATATTAAATTAAATTACTTGTTTTATAAAGTTAATATAAGGCCATCAAACAGAATATTCCACAATCAAAACTTTTTATATAAACAAGTATTATACCTATTTTCTTGCTTAGGACTATCACATGTGATTTACCATTTAGTATTTTCATTTTTGTAGTTTAGCATTTTTTCCAAGCCTTCAACAACATTATCTTATTTTGAATAATTAGAATCTAAATATTATATTTTATTTTCTTAAAACTAAATAATAGCACAAAGCCAATGATTATTTTATAAATTAATTGGAATGTATGTATATTTGAAAAGGCTAAAAAAATTATTTTAAAGATTTTAAGAAAATTTGTATCTATTCTTTAAGTTGTTTATTTAGATATTTAATTTATTAAATTGATATCTTCCTTTCTCATTTTCAAGAAAAATGACATTGCTTATTTTCATTTCGCTTTTTGAAATTACTTATGTAGGTTCTAATGGATCTTTTTTTATATATGTAATGTTTTTCACTTAGAAATTGAACTTTTACAATAATTCTTAATTTTATTAATTAACTACATTTTCTTAACTATTAGTTTTATACTAATTAAAATAATTCTCTTTAAAATCATCTTCTTATTTCGGTTTATTTTTCCAGAAAAATCTTAATGGGTTAAGAGTTTTTATGAAATTTAAAGTTTTAGAGAAAATTGATAAATTTTCACTTTAATCATGTTCAATTTACTTTTATTCTTATTCCTAAAATAATTCAAAGTTTGTAAAAGAATTTTATGAATTCTGAGTTGAATCTTGTCTAAATTAAGTAACCATCATATTTGGAAGAATAGAATTTGTAATATCTGGAATGAACTCTGGAAAAAGATGACAGTCTAATGATAGTACCTAATTAGATAATGATTAAAATATACTAGATGTTCTCCATAATAATATGTAAACAGTGACTAGAAAAAAACAAAATGTTAAGCAGTCAAAAATTGATTATTTGCTAGAATACTTAAAAAATCATCATTAATGGTAACACCATGTTTTCTTCGATTAAAATTTTTGAATCGATGTTTTTCAGAATAATAATCTGCCCAGAAAATATTTCGTTTAAGATCCAGAAGTGTTAATTCTTCTCTCATTATTTTTATTTATATATAATAAATGGATGCCCTTGGTAAAATTGCAACAACAGGAGAGAGAGCAATATAAGAATTGAATAAATAATCTTTAACACAATGGAATGGGAGTACTATGAGCACAATGAAATATGTATGGGATTGAATATTTAGAAAAGATAATAGAACGGTTGAATTTGTGCTTTGATGAAATAAATTTTCATTTATAAAAGAAGGGTTTGAATGATGAAGCCAGTGTAATAACAAAGTTATGCAATTATTTTAATGTTTTGTTCCAAAAAGTTGAAGAGATAAATCAAAGAAAGTAATAGAATCCTCCAGAGCTTCCTTTAGAATATTGTTAAAGATCATTTTCTACTAATTTAAGTTCAAAAACAATATTTGGAGGAGCTGAAATATAAAGTTTTAGTATATTTTCTGCATAAAAATCTAAATATATTACTGCAGAATAAGAATTTAGAAGTAATAAGCCAAAATTTAAGAAAAATGTTTAATCAAAAGGGACAGATACTGGTGAAGATGCTATGCGTTATTTAAATGTAGAATATTTAGGTGAGAAAGAGAGAGAATTATAAAGAGCAAAAGAGGAAAATGAAATGAATCTTAGAGAAGTAGAAAAGTTTCTTAAACTTAAAGGATTATGGAGTGAAATACATGCAAGCAATGCTCCTTTTAAACTTTAAGATCTAGGAAAAACATTAGAAAGAGAATTATAAAGAAATGAAATGTTTATTAATGAATAAATTAGAATAGCAAATTAGGAACCTGATTTTCCTCCTAGAGATATGAAATAAGAGATTAAAGATAAAGTTGTTGTTGGTGTTTAAAAATCAACTGCAGATAGAATATTAAAATATGCTGAAAGAAAAATGAGAGAAGAATTTGAAAAATTTCAATTGAAAAAGAATGGTGGATTATAAATGCATAAAAGAAAATCATAAAATATGTAAAGAATAGATGAGTTAGAACATTTAATTAATACTAAGAATGAAGAGATATTAGAAAAAGAATCAAAAATGTCTGCTCTATTTTCTAAATTTGAAGAGTAAGAGAAAAAATTAGTAAATTTAATGATTTAAATGGAATAAATTAAAGCTAATGAAAAACATAATAATACTTTTACTAGTAGTTAAGCAAATGAAAAATAAAGTCATTTTGAAGTTTAAGTATGTATGAGTGATCCAAAAATCTTTAAATTAGAATTGCAATTAAAAGAAATTGTTGAAGAAAATCAGAATATGAAAGCAGAATTATAAACTATTTATGAATAAGCAAAAAACGATAAATAGAAAGTTCTATTGTAGCCTTAATTAATTGAAGAAGTACTAATGATGATTATTTAAAGTGAGTTGTAAGCAGAAGGTAAAATAGAATTATTATAAACCTTTTTGTAATATCTTATTGAAAATTCAGAAAATGATATTGCTAAAATGCCTCCAAATGAATTATATAGAACTGTAAGATAAAAAATGCAATATAATACTAATTCAAATAGAAATTTAGAGGAAGTTTTAGAGAAATTTGAAGAAATGTAAAGTGATGATGAAGAATTCTCTCCAAGTTCAATTAAAAAAGCTAAAAAAAATAAAAATAAATAATAGAAATCTAAAAAAATAATTTTAGAAAGAGCTGATTCATAAATTGATTAATCATAATCACCTGAAAAATCAGAGAAATTTATTGGACTTAAAAAAACTAAAAATAAATTTGAAGATTAATTGAATGAAAATTCAGAATCTTAAATTTTAGTAAATAGTAATAATAATAATAATGATAGTAATTATTCAATTAGTATGTTTAAAAAAAAACCTCTCAATAAGATTAATGAAGAAAATAGCATGATCTAAAAAAATTCACCAAGAAAATAAGAAGTCATTAGTCCATAATCTGGTAATAGAAATGTATAAAATAATACCTCTACATTTAAATAAAGTTAATCTGATAATAAAGTAAATAAAAACATAATAAATTAATCTTTTATATAGAACTAGTCTTAATAGTAATAATAATAAAATAATTAATAATAATAATAATAATAATTTCAATTATAATAACCTAAAGAGTCTAGTAGATTCAAAACAGAATAATAAAAATAAATATCATCAGGAAGACAATAAGCAAATAGAAGTAGAGGATAAATAGATTAAAGTAATTAAAAATCTATAATTTAATCTTAATAAACACCTCAAAATATAAATAAGTAATAAAGACAAATAAAGTAAAGACATTCAATAAAGGATGAATATGGTGAAGTAGATTATGATGAAATTGACTAGGATGTAGCAAATCGAGGAGTTCAAGTGAATTTTGGAAATTTGTATATAAAAGCATCTATGATAAATTCTTAAGATGAGAATTCAAATATGATGGGTTCTTAGATAGGGTTTCAAACTCCTTTAATGAGATAAAGTTATAGATAGTTGGAAGAGAAGGTGACTGCAAAATTTACTTAAACAGATGATTTTTTTATGTGGAATTTATTTTAAAAGATGCAAGTTGATCTTGGATTAACAGAAGAATAAATAAAACGATTAGAATAAATATTTTTAAATGAATAATAATTTATACATTATTATGAGAAGACTCCATCTTAGAGATAAAAATCAAGAGCATCAACAGTTTTGGTTGATTAGACAACAAAAGTTAAATAAGAGAAATATATAGAAAATACAATTAATGATAGTAAGATGACTACTATGGTTTAATAGAAAAATGAGACAACAGATTCAGAATAATAAATAAGAAGACCAACAATATCTATAATGAAAACAACTCAACCCCCAAAAGGATTAGAATCCCCAATGAATTAAGTTGGAAGATAAAAAAGTTAGGTTTTGCTTTCTTATACAAATGAAAGCAGTATAATTTAACCTAATTAAGGTAGAAGTGTAAGTTAAACATCAGATGTACATATTGTAAATTATGGTAGTGTTAGTACAGATTCTATTGCTAAAAAATAGAGATAAACAACAAGTTAGAAAATCTTAGAAGATATGCTTAAAAATAAGACTGGTTTAACATCACCATTTGATGTAGAAACAAAAGAATAGAAGGAATAAAAAATGTATTTTCATGTTTTTGGAGATGAATTATAGACTGATGCAGATTTTGAATTAGAAGCTGTTAGAATTAATTTAGGAAAACCTTTAGAAGTTATTTAAGATCATTTAAAAGAAGATGCTATGAAAAAGATATATTAATAATTTATTAATCGACCTAAGAATCCTTGGTAAGATTAGCTATATATGATTATATCTTAGTTTGCTAATAAACCTCCATAAGCAATAACTTATATAGATTTCAAAAAGTATTATGAAAATTATATGAGAGTATAAATTGATATCAAATTTGTAGGTACATAAGAGATGTGGTGATGGATGTATTCACATATAAAGATTTTTAGCCAGGATTGGATTTGGGATAAATTCAAAGAGAAAACAATTAAATATGAGCAAATAAAGTGTTTCTCCTTTTGAACTGCCTAAACTAAAATGAAATTTTTGATATGAACTCGTTATTATATTAATTTAAATCTTAGTAATGTAATAATAATACTCAAACACTTACGAGTCAGTTGTTAGAACTTAGGTGGTTAGTGGATAAGATTAAAAACCACTTAATTTGGGTTTGACAGATGTTGAAGGAGCAAAGGTTTTTTAATTATTTGAAACTTTAGGCAGTTGCTAGAAGACTCTTTGATACTTATGATAGAGATAGAAATGGATAAATTGATAATGTAGAGGTTGTACCTATGATAGTTGATGTCTATAAATCATTTAATAGAATCTTCTCTCCAGCTAGAGGTGACATTGATTCATTTTATAAGTTCAAAATTGATTTTATTTATTTAGAGTATTGGATAGAAATTAAGATGGAAAAATCACATATTAAGACCTTGAAGACTTATGTATCAGATACTTGACCAACTAAACTCCAACAAATTTGAGAGCTTCTGAAGCACCTCGTTAAAGTGGAATCTAATAAACATAATAAACAGTCACATCATCATATAGAAGAACTCAGTATTGATTGTGATTCTTTAATAAACACAAATTCAGATTATTTCATAAATTATATCAAATCTTCTTACAAGATTTCTTGTAAATATGATAAATCATGTTAAATAAAAATTTTTAGAGATTGTTATTATATTTCTGGTTTAAGATAATCATTATAAATTGAATTTCTTTATTTAGAAATTTGAATTAGTTAATTGATAATGATTTGAGTAGAGAACTATTAAAAATTATAAATATCTTTCTAAGATGTTTTTTAGAGCATTAAAGGATGTTAGAGAGTAGAGTTTTTTAAAGTAATAAATAAGAATTAAATTGTGATTCATTTTTAATATTAAAAAATGAATTATTAAAAAATAGAAGGTGCTGAAGAGATAGAAGAATTTAATTTTGTGGAAGTGAAAAAAAAAATAAAGAAGATAAAGAAAATAATAGTTGAGCCAAAAGTGACATAAGCTGTATAAAATTCTGAGACGGTAGGTCCTGATGCAACAAAACCCTAATAAACAATATTGGATATAATATTGGATAATTTACCTTAGAGTGAGTTATATGAGAGATCATTAATGCATAGAGAAAATATAAATATGGTATTGTCAGCATTTAAATCACATATAATAATAACAGTATCAACAGATGGACATATAAAGATGTGGAGAAAAGTATTTAGATTGGTTGAATTCATAAAACATTTTAGAGCACATACAGGAATAGTCACTTGTGCTACATTGACTGATGGACATGATAAGATGGCAAGTGTATCTCCTGCAGATAGAACTATTAAAATATTTGATATACTGAATTAGGATTTATTAGATATGATAAAACTTCCATTTTAACCTTATGGATGTGAATTTGTAGATACAGCGGATGTACAATAATAATTATTATTAATCAGCGATGGTAATAGTGGAGATATTTATGTTACTGAAAGTGGTAAAATTATGAGAATGGTAAAATTACATAGTTAACCTGTTAAATAAATGAAATACTTAAGCAATTATTAATTTATGTTTACTATAGATACAAGTGGAAGAATTGAAATTTGGGATCCTATTACTTAAGATTTCCCAAAATAAGTTTATGCTAAGCCTTAATTTAAAATTCAATTCTCAAGTAAGGTTGGTACTGATTTATATGAATTAATGCAACATAAATTATAATGTTTTGGAATGTGTATGAGTAATATGTAGAAATTAATTGTTTTGTATGTTTCTGATAAAAAATTAAGAGTATTTAACATACAATCAGGAAAGATTATTCTAACTCTTGATGAATCTATTGAAGCAATAACAAATAGATAGAATGATTAAGCATCATATCCATTATTACATATTGAATAATAAGATTTTGAAAGAAGATTATTAATTGAAAAAGATATCGATAAACAACCAGAATAATTAAAGTAAATTACAATGTGTTTTGATGAAACTGATCAAATATTAATTTATCCTACTTTTATTGGCATTAAGTTTATTTATATTAAAACTGGAGAACTTGTAAAGCTTTTAGGGAAAATGGAAAGTAGTCAAAGATTTATGAGAGTTGCACTATATTAAGGACCTTCTATGAAAAATACTTAAAATGAACAATCTCATAGTTCTTTAAATAGAAAAGAAACTGATCCCACTTTATATATAAGCGCTCATAAATCAAATAAGTTTTATGTATTTTCTCGTAGAATTCCTGAAGATTTAGCTGATAAACCATGGACTGTAGCTAGAGATGTTTTAAATGAACCACTTAATCTTATTTAATAAAGTATAAGTGTAATGTCTGATAATAAAAATAAAGTATATTATTTATTATTATACATTTAAGACTTTATCTGGATGCTAAGCTATTATATAAACTACTTTTGGTGAAATCTATATAAATTTATTTCCAAATGAGACACCAAAGACAGTTGAAAATTTTATCTAGCATTCTAAAAATGGTTATTATGATGGATTAATATTTCATCGTGTTTAATAAGGATTTATGATATAGACAGGTTGTCCTAAGGGAAATGGAACAGGAGGAGAATCTATTTGGGGAGGAGAATTTTAAGATGAATTTCATCCAGAATTAAGACATGATAAACCATTCACTGTTAGTATGGCTAATGCAGGTCCAAATAGTAATACAAGTTAATTTTTTATAACTGTTTGTCCTACACCTTGGTTAGATGATAAAGTATTAAAAAATAATATTAATTTAATAGCATACTATTTTTGGTAGAGTTTATAAAGGAATGAATATTGTAGTATAGATAAGTGAAGTTGAAACAGATGATTTCGATAAACCACTTAATGATATCAAAATTATAGCTATTAAGATTTTATGAATTTGATTAAATTACAATAATATAAAATAATATTTATCAGTGTTTAATTCTATCATAATAATTTTATTTAAAAATAATATCAAAAATATTTAATTAAATTAATTAAAATGAATTATAATTATCCAAATATTCGCATACTTATGGTTGGTGTAGGTGGTATAGGATGTGAAGTTTTAAAAATGGTGAGTAAATTCACATTCTAAGAATTCCACATAATAGATATGGATACAATAGAAGTAAGTAATCTAAATCGTTAATTTCTATTTCGATTAGAACATCGAGGTTAATCAAAATCTCTTGTTGCAGCTTAAACAATGAAAAAGATGGCACCATAATTAAATATTATAGCTCATTTCGCTGCTATAAATTCTCCTGGTTATACTATGGATTTCTTTAGATAATTTGATGCTGTAATAATGGCATTAGATAATGCAGAAACAAGATCTTATGTTAATAAAGTATGTCATGCATTGGGTATATTTATTGTTGATGCTGGATCTATGGGATTTAAAGGATAAGCTAATGCTTATTATGAAGGGACAGTTTGTTATGATTGTTATCCCATTGCCACTACTTAAAAATAATATCCAGCATGCACAATAAGATCATAACCAAGTAATTGTACTCACTGTGTTATATGGGCTAAATATCTATTTACATAATTATTCTCAGGAGAAGTTGGAATTCTAGAAGTAGAAGGATTTGATAAAACTTAACCTAATTCTGTTTTTAGTAAATTCTTTAAAGGAGAAGAAATGCCTCATTCTATTGATATTATTGATCATTAATTAATCTAAAAGTATCATTTCTCATCAAGAAAAGAATCTATTGAAGAATTACAAGGAATGTGGTTTTATACTTATAATTAACTTAATCAATTAGGAGTATTATAATATGATAAAGATGATGATCTTCATGTTCTCTTTATTTATGCAAGTACTGCCTTAAGATGTAGAAATTTCAATATTGAATAATATGATTACTAATAAATTAAATCTATTAGTGGTAATATTATTCATGCTATTGCATCTACTAATTCTATTGTTGCAGCTTTAGAAATATAAAGATTATTAGCTTTCATTTAAAATCACCACAAAATTTAATATCTTTAAGATTTAAAGGCTGCATCTTATGTCTAAACAGGTAAAAAGGAAAGAATCTTAACTCTTAATGCTGCTATTCCTAATCCTTTATGTAATTCTTGCTTTCACAATTAAATTTATACTAAAATTGATTTCTCAGTTGTTAAGATTGTTGATTTAGTCACTTCACTTAAAAATCATTTGAACTCTGAACTAAATATTGTTTCTCTCTCCCGTATTATATGGGATGATGAAGATGAAAACGATAATGAAGCTATTAGATAAAAAAAATTAAATGAATTATTCAAATCAGATTTAGATAATAGATTGATCATTAAATCTATTGAAGAAAAATTCTTAGCTGTCCTTTGGTTATAACATCTTACTGATTAACTTCAGATCTAATTTATACCTACCAAGATTGAAAATAAAATACTTAGATTGAAAAATCCTCTATAAAACAAAAAAAAAGAAAGAATAAGAACATAATAAGAGATCAAAGAATTAAAAGAAACAGAAATCCTTCCTATCAAAACTTCAGATAAATTTAAGATAATAGCTTAATAAAAAACTGAAATCTTAATTGATGAAGAGTAAAATGAATAAACTCAACAAAAAAAGAAAATCGAATTAATCATAGATTGATTTATAATCAAATTTATTATTAATTATAATATAAAATATTCAACATATGTAAATTAAATATTAATAATATAAATCTCTTTATAATTATCTAAATATTACTTATGGAATTTTAATAAAAAATCTCCTTTTTCTAAATTTATCGACTTAAAATAAAAATTATAAATTGAAAAAGAGATTTTAATAGAAAATATTTATAATTGTTCTTACATCTAAAAATAAAAATCAGTAAATTTATTTTATTCATATCATGATTCTCTTTCAAATATTGCTCCTTTTGATTATTAACCATATCTTCTAAATAAAGATCAAATTATAATTTTGGAAAAATATAATTTTTTGTAATGTTTTTGAGTTTATAAGATAAATAAAATAAATTAAATTTATATTGAATCAAAAGATCGTCTAAATTCTAAAATATTCTATATTCAAAATTCTGATTTAAAAAAGTCGTTACGAATTCTTTGAAATAGAATAATATAAATCAATTAATAAAATATTAATTATATAGATTATTTAATTCTGTTATGAATAACATAAATAAATTTTAAAAAATATAAAAGAATACCATTCTAATCATAATTCTAAGTTACTTCAAAACCAAAATTCTATTAAAAGCATTTTTGATGATAAGATTCAGTTTATAAATATTCTTGTTGTTGAATGTAAAACCAAGAGAAATTTAGATAAAAATTCTAAAGAGATTACAGAAAAAAATTTCTAAAAATTTTGATTTTGCTTTATTAAGCTCAATAAATAATTCTTATATTCTATAATCTTATTTGATGCTTTCCATTTATCTATATTTTAATCTGAATCTATTAGAGAGATTAATAAAATAATTTATTCAGCCTAGGATATTAAAATTTTGTAACTTAAAATTTAGTTGTTTTATATATCAATAAAATTGAATGATTCAAAAGAAAGAGAATAATGCTAAAATTAAACTTAAAATTCAAAAAATACATGTTTCCTACGTTTAAATTATATAATTTTTATTATTGCACAAATCAACATTAAGATCTGAAATTCTGACTGAATGCAAAAATAAAATTAATGAAACCTAATTAAATTTACTAATAAATTAAGATCAATTTTTTAGATTATAATATAAAAAATTTTTTCTCATCAGTTTTTATTTATATAAATATAAATTAAATATAAAATAAAATGGATGACTCTCAGTTAGATTTAGGAGCATTAGAAGATATAGACCCAAGTTTAGAAGGAGGATATAAGATTTAATTTAATAAAGAAATAAATATAGAAACTAGGTTGATTTTTTTATTAATTATTTTTATAGAATATAAAATGTTAATAATAGTCCTTAAGAGATAGGAACACTAGAATAAATTAAAGTGAAAATACTGGTTTAAGTAAAATTCTTAAAATATTGTAAGGGAGATTAATCAACATTCGAGAATTTGAAAATAGAATTGACAAGTGAAACAGATCTTTTCTTTAATTACATTACAATGTATTTTACATATTATTTAATTAGTGTTGATAAAGAAACTTATAAGAAAATAAAAGAAGAATAGAAACTTACAATAGACTATCCTTAATTTTTACAAATGTTAATTAAATTATTGAACTCATCTCATAAAGAACCTAATCAGTATTTAAATATTAAAAACTTCTTAGCTTCTTTTGTGTATTTTTTATGCAACAAGATGGGGCTGCTAAATTAGATTTTATAGAAAACTTAGAATATAAATTTATGGAAATGTTAACTTTAGAATTTAGTTGTGCAACTGAAGAAGTTATAAGACAAAATGTTTCCTTTCGATATAATTTAATGAAAGCTAAACTCTAATTTGTTCAAAATAGGTATAGTTTTTATAATTCTGCTAGATTAAATGATATAACATCTCTTATAAAATTAAAAAATCCTTCACTTTTAACACAACTTAACAAATTGTCAATAAATTCCATTTAAAACTAAAGTAGCCAAAATATAAGTAAATACTTGGGATAATCTAAAAAAAATTATAATTCATCTAAATTTATCTGATCCTCTAAATAATTTTCTATTAATTTAATATTATTCATAATTTTCTACATTTTATAAGTATTTCTTATTTACAATATTTTTTTTAATCTTTATGATTAAATACTTATTTATTTAAAAATAATTATATACTGAAAAAGAGTACATCAATTTTATGTAAATCATTTAATTTTAATTTTTACTCCATTTCAATCATTTTAAATAATGCATTCAAATATATGAAATCTAAAAAAGCAAAAAAAACTTGGAAGATTTAAAATCTTTTTATTTTAACTTAAAAATAAAAGAAATTTTAAACTTTATTTTATGTTGAGAATAGATCTACTAATTTTTTAATTATAATTTTGCTCTATATACTTATAATCGCTTTTATTTGTAGTTTGAATTAATTTAAATAAAACAAAATTATATATAATTATTTAAAGCCTTTATCTAAAATAGAAAAAAAAATCCCTTTACTAGCTTTTAAAATGAAATTCTCATGTATATTGACTGTTCCCATCTCTAAGTTATATTTCTATACAAAAATTATTTAGGTTGAAGAAAAGTATCTAAATTTCGATTATTTAATATGTCTAGATGATAATAATATTTAATTGTAAAATTGCTATATATTTTTATAGATAATAAATATATCTATAAAACAATTGGATAAATTTATAATATATATTTGTAAATATTTAATGAAATAATTCATCTATTTCCGAATCTCACATTTCTAGTGAATAGATTATCTTCAAGTTTATGTTATTAATGAAATAAAGACTAGTAAACTAGAATAAGAATGATACTTTTACTTTCATTTTTTTTAAGATCCTGAGTTTAGTTTTATAAAACTTAAAGTTTATTGTTCTCAATTGCTTATTTCATGCATTTACGTTCTTCTGTACATACTTTTTTTTTTTATTAAGATTCTAAATTTTCAGCAGCATCTGGAACTTTAAATTATTATTTTTAATCTTCTTTTTGTTTTTCTTTAATCTCAATTTCTTTATACAATTATGCTTTTTTAATTTCTGCTTCCTCATTAGTTGGGCACAATCTAAATTTAATAATATTAAATTACTAAACTATATCTTTTTCTGTATATGGTTTATTGCAAATTGGACATTTAAATTCTTTGATTTTAAGATCTTTAATCAATTTTTCATTGAAAACACAACCACAAGTCCATAATGCTTAAAATCTATTTAAAAATCATAAAATACTTTTCTTTTCCATTTAATGCTTTTTAACTAATAGGGCAAACAAATGGGAATTCATTATTTTAATCTGGATTTTCAGTAATATTCAATTTTTTGATTTTTTTAATCTAAAATAGGTTTTGAAAATTTACATTTTATAAGTGTTTTAATTCTTTTGGTATTTTCTTTTCCATAAAAGCCTTAAGTAAAGTATCATAATTATATAGATAACCAGCTCTGCAACATGCAATAGGTTTTCTCAATCTTTCTTTAGTTAATGAACAAAATTAAGCTCTTTACTATAATAAGAATGAAACTATACTTTTGCAACAAGAACACTTTCAACTCTTTTTTCTGGTTTTTTAAGTTTAACTAATTCTGCTCTTCCAGCAATACTTCCTCCATCATTACCCATAATTAATGAAAATAATTAAATATTTAAAAATAATAAAAATAGGTAAGAGTATTTTATATAAATTGAATTCATAGCTATAAGTATCAGTATAATTTTTTATTGTTCTAAAATTGATTACATTATATTTTGATAGCTTTTAATAGAGTGAGAGTATTTTCAATTTTTTTATCAGAAATACATGCTTTATTAGCAGAGACGCTAATTTATGTATGATTAATTTTACTAGGATTAGGAGATGTTGTTATGCTTGACCAAAAATTGGATTATGATCTATAATATTTTTCTTTTTTGATATCTAATTTTTCATTTAATTTATTATCTTTTTGTTTAGTGTTTAAAAACAATAAGACTTTATCCTTAATAATTTTATCATGTGAAATATTCTAAGTATCTTCAGTTAGAATTTTTTGGAAATAAGCTCTAGAAGATGAATAAGAATGATGATTATTATATGTCTTCTTTCCTCTAGGTTATGAAGAGGGTCGAACAGAAAGACATTCTATAGATGATTGATTAGTTTCTTATTTTAAGTTATTAAAATTAAGTTGTTTGGAAAGGGAACTAAGTTATTTATAGAGAGTAGTTACTTAATTACAAATTTAAGTTCTGATATTTATTTTGATTACTATTTGTTTATTTTTTTTTGGTTTTCTAATTAGGATTAAAGTTATTCACATAATTAAATGCTTTCTTGTAATTACAATTCTTTAGAGTCTATTTATTCTTATAAATCTTAAATCAATTTAGTTTATTATAACAATTTATTTTCTAATAACTATATAAGATAGATGACATACTTAATTTTTTTATAATTCAAATACTAATCTTTCTGAAGCATGAACTACTTTCATATGAGTAATATTTGAATTATCATCCGAGATTTTATCTAATTGAGACACTCTTGACATAGTCATAGATGGTTCTAATATGTTTTAACTATTCTTAAATTTGCTATAATAATCATTTAAAAAGATATCAGTTAAATTATTTGATAGAAGCATATTGGTTAAATGATCAGATTCAGATATTTCCAATAATGAGTCCTAATCTTGTTAATCCATTAATAAAGTAAATTAATTTAAGTTGATTGTTTTTTAAAATATTTACTAATAAAGAAAATATAATGATTAAGCTATATTCAAATACAATCTTCTTCAACTTTCTTATCTCCCCAAGTATTAATAATATCAATCTAAAGTAATTTGAAATTCTTACTCTTCTAACTAGAGTTAGAAGTTTTTAGACTTTTCTATTGTCCTAAACAACTTCTGCTAAATCTGTATAGTATGTAGACCAAGGATAAGCTTTGTTTTTTAATAAAGTCTAATCAGATTCATATTAATATTTCTTACTTCTACAATTTCAAGATAGTTTCCTTAAATTGCTAAATAAAGAGGAGTTCTATGTAAAATATCAACTGCATCTACATCTGCATGATTCTTTATTAATAGTTCTACCATTTCTATTAAACCTTTTTTACAGGCCCAATGTAAGGCAGTCATATTATAGAAATCAAAATCAAAAACAAGATATCTGTTTTATTCTAACAATTCATTAACTCTATCTTTTTGATTTAATTTTACGGCATGAATAAATTCATTAGACATTTTTCTCTAATAAGGCTTTTTAGAAAACACTTTATTTTCAATCATATATTGTGGATCAATATTCATTGCCTTCAATTTATTAATAGCTCTTAAAAGTATCATTCTTAATTATTTTTTTGATCTCTTTGGAGGTTCAATCTTTGATTTCACAAATTAATGATCAAAGTCAAAACATTACATAATACGAGGAGATTGAAATTCTGACATTACAGTTTCTTTAGGAGACTATAAAGCAGGAGGTTGTTAATATTAATATATTTCTAATTAAGGAATTTCTTCACTTGTTTATTGATATTATTAAACCTATGGTAAAGTATTAAACTTTCCTTGCTTTGTTTATGTAAGATAAGCTCTTACGGTTCCATGAGTAGTATGTCTTGAACTTCGAGTAGTATTTATAGGAGATAGATTCTTTATTATACGGAATCTAGGTGAATTATTTTTTGCATAAGTATATTCTATTTTAAGTTTTGGTACTTTTGGACAATGTTCACTTAACATTTTACGATGAATTATAGGTTTACTTAATAATTCTTTTATTTAATTTGTTTATTGACTATCCTTTTTTAAATTTGTTACTCTTGGGGGTACTTTTAGTTCCCTGTATANTCCGAGATTTTATCTAATTGAGACACTCTTGACATAGTCATAGATGGTTCTAATATGTTTTAACTATTCTTAAATTTGCTATAATAATCATTTAAAAAGATATCAGTTAAATTATTTGATAGAAGCATATTGGTTAAATGATCAGATTCAGATATTTCCAATAATGAGTCCTAATCTTGTTAATCCATTAATAAAGTAAATTAATTTAAGTTGATTGTTTTTTAAAATATTTACTAATAAAGAAAATATAATGATTAAGCTATATTCAAATACAATCTTCTTCAACTTTCTTATCTCCCCAAGTATTAATAATATCAATCTAAAGTAATTTGAAATTCTTACTCTTCTAACTAGAGTTAGAAGTTTTTAGACTTTTCTATTGTCCTAAACAACTTCTGCTAAATCTGTATAGTATGTAGACCAAGGATAAGCTTTGTTTTTTAATAAAGTCTAATCAGATTCATATTAATATTTCTTACTTCTACAATTTCAAGATAGTTTCCTTAAATTGCTAAATAAAGAGGAGTTCTATGTAAAATATCAACTGCATCTACATCTGCATGATTCTTTATTAATAGTTCTACCATTTCTATTAAACCTTTTTTACAGGCCCAATGTAAGGCAGTCATATTATAGAAATCAAAATCAAAAACAAGATATCTGTTTTATTCTAACAATTCATTAACTCTATCTTTTTGATTTAATTTTACGGCATGAATAAATTCATTAGACATTTTTCTCTAATAAGGCTTTTTAGAAAACACTTTATTTTCAATCATATATTGTGGATCAATATTCATTGCCTTCAATTTATTAATAGCTCTTAAAAGTATCATTCTTAATTATTTTTTTGATCTCTTTGGAGGTTCAATCTTTGATTTCACAAATTAATGATCAAAGTCAAAACATTACATAATACGAGGAGATTGAAATTCTGACATTACAGTTTCTTTAGGAGACTATAAAGCAGGAGGTTGTTAATATTAATATATTTCTAATTAAGGAATTTCTTCACTTGTTTATTGATATTATTAAACCTATGGTAAAGTATTAAACTTTCCTTGCTTTGTTTATGTAAGATAAGCTCTTACGGTTCCATGAGTAGTATGTCTTGAACTTCGAGTAGTATTTATAGGAGATAGATTCTTTATTATACGGAATCTAGGTGAATTATTTTTTGCATAAGTATATTCTATTTTAAGTTTTGGTACTTTTGGACAATGTTCACTTAACATTTTACGATGAATTATAGGTTTACTTAATAATTCTTTTATTTAATTTGTTTATTGACTATCCTTTTTTAAATTTGTTACTCTTGGGGGTACTTTTAGTTCCCTGTATATTATGTTTCTAATACCTAAATTCACTGAGTATTCTCAAATAACATTTATTTTAATATAATTCATTCATTATTATAATTAATGTACAAATTGAACAAGAGTTAAACAGTTCCACTAAGAACAAAAGAAAAAAGCAATATACTTGCTCTATGTGTTAATTGTGAAGAATTTATTCCTTTAGATAGAATAGATCTTCATGCTTAAATTTGTACTTAAGTATCCAATAAAGTACTCAAATTTGCATTTTCTTCCTTTTGTTTTGAAGAAAATGATTTCAAATTAAAAAAATTGAAAACGAATTTATAAAATAAGAATTACTAACATACTTAAAGATTATGTCGAATTTGTGAATTGGTGACTCAAATCAATACTATAGGATATGTAGAAGAAGCATCATTAATAGAATTTGAGAATGAGCTTCTTATAATGAGTAAAGAACCAATTGAATCTATAAATTTATAACTATATTTAGAAAGAATACGCTCACTCGTTATTGAAAGAATTATAATCATACAGAATTAATTAAATTCTAAAGTTATGAGACCTTCTCAATCTTAATAAAACTTTTATGCATAAACAAGTACTCTTTAAAATTCTAAACAATCTAAAGTATCAGCAAGTTCAAGTCAAACAATTAATAATTTTAATTTTTAAAATTTACTCACAAACAAATTTGAAAACTCAGAAATTATTACTTCAGGACATAGAATTACATAAAGTCTTAATGGAGAAAATAGAATGACAATCAAATCTAGATTTTCACAAGGAAGTCTTAATTAATAATAAGGAACTACATCATAATAAAGAAAAACAGAAGTATTATTAACCAATATTAGTGAATAATCAATAGAAACAATTTAAGATTACAATAATCCTAAAACTTTTGCTTAAAGGTGTTTTTATTCTAAAGTCTTAAATTTGAAATTAGCATATCCTTAATCCAGTCCAGCCTAAAAAATTCCTGTATATTTATTATGGAAATAAGCAGAATTAAAATAAATCAGAACTCAAAATTGGGATCTATTTATTAAACAATGTCTAGATAATCCTTTTGAATATGTTGATCCTAAGAAATTTAATAAAACTTTCAATAAAAATTAGTACAAAAATTGAATCAATCAATTTCATTTTAATTTTCAAATATTTATTTGAAAAATCATAATTTTGTTTTGCAAAAATTTATATTTTTACTTTTGTATTTCTAATTTATCAAAAACTTTGAATCAAATAAAAAGGATTATTTGAAAAATAAGTAAATCAAAAATAAATAAAAAAATGGAGAATAATTAAATTTTTGGATTATTAAAGAAAAGATCTTGATCATAAATAAATATAATTTAATCAAATATTTCAGTAAAAGTAAAATAAAATAAGATTTGCATAGAGTGCTAGTAGAATAAGCATATAAATTATAGAAAAAAAATACTTACAATGATTATTTGCTGTATTTTATTGCTGATTTTTTATACAATTATTTATCATTTTGTCGATATTATAATTCTTTAAAGGAAAATTTATTTTTAATACATTATTTGATATTTATAATATTAAAAGGGTTTATTAGATAACAATTATTTATTAAATAAAATGTATTAATACGGTTAATCATACCATCATTTAAGAAAAGAAAATAAGTAGAATTAATTATATAATTCTTTGTAATTAGAAAGGGAGTAAGTTAAATCATTTATAAAATAACAAGAGTTAAATCATTAATAGCAATCATAATTTATAAAAGAACAAATTAATCAATAAACTAACTCAATCAAAATTCGGATTGCTTAGAGACGAAACAGTTTATAAGTAGATTAAGAAGCAAAATAAATTTAAAAAGTTGTTGCATATTTCAATTAAAGAATATAAAAAATTAGAGATTAGGTATAGAATGAAGATTAATTAATATTAATATAGAAATTAGAGGAAGAAAAACTCAATAAGATTTTACAAATATAAAACTAAATTTGATTTTATCATCTTTTATAACTTTTATTGTTTTCTTATTTGTTTTCATTAAAATTATTTTATTAATTATTAAATGTCTTTTAATATTTTATTGTCTAATGATTCTTTTATAAGATTCTCTTCTAAAATAATTAAGTATACATTTTTATCTAATTTATAAATAATTAACATATATAATTATATATATATACATATAATAATAATTTAAAGATTATAAAAAAAGTAATAATATTAATATTAATAATATGAATGATGTTTCTCTTTTAATTGATGAATTGAATGATTAAATACTAACAGATTAATTTGTTTATATAAGTTTGTTAGGAGGAGGAGCATATGGAAAAGTTGTGAAGGCTTAAAGTAAAGAGTTAAACAAAACTGTTGCAATTAAAGTAAATGACTTAATTTAAATAGATAGATTATTGAAAGAAATAAGAATAAAGAATAAGATTAAGAAGCATCTCTATTAGAGTAGTGCAACCATAAAAATATTGTGCATTTTCATAAGGTTTTAAATATTGTAAAGTATTAGTTACTTTATACACATAATCATTTGTATATAATAATGGAGCATCTACAAGGAATCACTTTGTAAGAAGAAATTAATAAAGAATTACCTGAGAAGAAAGTTAGAAATTTAATAAAGTAAATTTTAGAAGGATTGAGCTATCTACATAATCAAGGGATTATTCATAGAGATTTGAAGCCATGTAAGAAAAATTTTGGATTTAAGCAAACATATATTTGGTTCGAGAAAACAATTAATCCATTGTTAAACTGATTGACTTTGGACTTAGCTATTAAATAAGTTCACACAAAATAGCCAATAAGTAATGCGGTACTTTGTTATACATGGCACCAGAATTGGCATAAGATGTACCTTATAATTAGACTGTAGATATATTTGCACTTGGAATCATATTTTATTAGTTATTTCATAATGGATAACATCCATTTTATGTATCTGGAATGAGAAGTTCAGAATATTTCAGAAAATTAGCAAAATTAGAATTTAATGTGTATTTCAATAATAATATTCCATTAATGGCCAAAGATTTCATATTAAAAACAATGGCTTTATTACCTGATGATAGAATGTCTGCTTATTAATGTTTAGATCATCCATGGATTAAAAATGTTGAATAATAATAATTTCCAATCACTACAAATGAAATTATATCTACATTTGTTGTGAAATAGAAATTCATCAAAATTATCAAAGCTTTAATGTTCTTCAATATATTGTCAAAAAAGTCAATCAAAAAGGAATTAAAAGAAAATGATACTAAACGTAGATCAAATCTAACAGAAATTAATTCATTATATCCATATGAATAAGAATTTATTCATTTATAAATACCTATGTCTTAAAGAGATAAACCTCCAATATCAAAATCTAAAATGCTTAAAACTGTTTAAGGTCCATTTAATACTCCTTAGATATCAAAAAGACAAGTTTCAAGAGAATCTTTAGCATAAAGCTTCATTGGTGCTCCAAAAACTTTTACACCTTAATCTCATACTAAAAGGACACTTAAAACTCCTTCTCCTACTTAATTTAGATTACCACCAATCAAATCACCTAAACAAGCTTAAAGTCCAAGCATTTAAAATATTATAAATAAATCAAGATTTTTTTAATCATGATATTACAAATTATGTATTTTTATTAAAATTTTAATATAGATTTATTATTAAAATCAATTTTATTTGGTAATCTAAATTTTTTTTAAGAAGATGTATATGAATTTGATTTAAATAAAATTGTATTAAAATATAATGAAGAGACTATCTTACATTCAAACTAATTAATCATTTAATTATTTATTTTTAGACACTAAAAATATATATATTTTAATATGTCAAAATTTCTCTAATTAAAATCTGATTTTTTTTACTTACTTAATTTTTCTATGCATTTTCTTGATTCATTGTAGTATTTAAATAATTCTTATGCAAGTTGATTGATTCTATTAAGAAAAATACTGAGAGTTTAGCAAAATTATTTAGAGAGATAAATAAACAATTTAAAAAAATAAAAAAGATGGAAAATGAATAAATAAAGCTCATACAAAATCTTCACTCTTAGTTTTACTAAATTAACTCTTTTTCATTTGTTCATCTTTATGAATGTTATTAAATTTAGTTTATTTAAAAGCCTAAGACTTTGGTGATTATAGATCTTCTGTTCTTGGAGATGTAATTTTGACTTCTTTAACTTCATTTACAAATGATAATCCATTATTAAAATCCAATTTAGGTGAAAATTACATATAAGAATTAGATTTTTTATGTTTAGGAGTTTCTGATCCTATTGAAGATGGTGATGATTGTCTAGATCTTGATCCAATTTAAATAGTTATTTGTTTTTTATGAAGCATATTTGAATTAGTAATATTTTTATTTTTGATTTCTTTATATCAAAAAATAAGCGATTTAAATCATAAAAATATAATATATAATATCAATTAATATTTGTAAAATTGATATATAAAAGTTGTGTATTAGTCTATTTATGAATGTAGGTATGATTTAAAATGATTAAGCACAATTATTAAAATATGTAGAATAATTATAATAAAAATGAAAAAAAGGGATATAAATGGGGGAATATAATGATATATATATGAATCTTAGGGATATTATATAATGAATTAAGTATGAATAATTTTTGAATTATATTTTTAATAAATAAATGGCAACAAAATAAAAATCAATAGAGGATTATAGAAATGCTGTGAAGTTATTAAAATTAAAAGTGCTAAAATTGTAGAAGCAGAATGAAGAGTTAATAGATAAAATGAGAGAATAGGGTATTCCATTGGATTCATAGCATGATTAAACTGATTTAAGTAATTAAGCAGTTATGGGAATTTTTTCAAGAAGTTGTAGAAGGATAGGATTAACTCCAGAAATGATGTTTAGAGCATCTGATAGAGAAGGATAAGGATAGATAAGTACTGAAGATATGAGATTATTTTTATCAAAAGTTAGATTAGGTTTGAATAATACATAATTAACAATGTTGGTTCGTATTTTTGATGAAGATTGTTCAGGAGTAATAAAGAGAGAAGGTAAAATAGAAAAATTAATATAGAGTATTATGATTGTTTATAAGCTTATGGAATAAATGAAGAGAGAGTATAAGGTTAGGCTAGAACTTATGGTTAAGAGAGTTTGTTAAAATATGCTCGTTTACTATTGATGAATAGAATGTCTGTTGAGGATTCTCTTAAGAAATTAGGAGATAATATAATACCATCTCATTTTGTGTAATTCTGTTAAAAATTATAAGATCATTCATTCATGGGATAGATGGATCAAATTTATTAAATGAAAAAGAAATTATAGCAGTTTTCAACCATATAGATGTGAATAAGAGTGGAGTACTTTAAGCAACATTTTATGATTAAGAGGTTAGAAAAGCAATGAGAGTTGCATAATCAGATATCGGTTTAGGTGTTTAAATTAATCCAAATGTAGGAGGAGGTGGAGGATATACTATTCCTAAATCTTAACCAGTTGGAATACTTAAACCAAGTTAAGCATCATAATAATAATTGGATCCTTTTAGAATGACCTAAACATAAATGGGATAATCTAAATCAGGTATGAATATGTCATCATCTCATGCATTTTTAAATGAAACTATAATTATGTTAACAGATGAAGATAAAAAGAATATTTAAACTATTATTACTAAACTTAAAGCTTAAGGTGTTGATGCTATTGAATTTATAAGAATTGTTATATAATAATTAGAAGTTCCAGGAGCAGGAATTATGTTATATGATTTTTATAAAAGATTTGATAAAAAAATACCAAAAAATGATTAATTAGCATTTTTTAATGCTATAGATTTAAATAAAAATGGATCAATAGATTATGATGAATTAATGGTCTTTTTTTAAGAATTCAAATCTTAAAAAGATAATTTTGATTTGTTATTTGAAATTTTAACAAGAAAATTATAAGCTTTAGAGATTGGAATAGTTTAACATTTAGCATCTGAATAAATATATGAAGATAAATAATTGACACCTGATTAATTTTATTAATTAGCTTAGATTTTATTTTCATGTCCATCTAAAAAACATTCTGATGCATTATTTTCTTATTTTGATATTGATGGATCAGGAATATTATCAGCCTAAGAAATAATTGATTAAGTTTAAAAGATCTTATCTATATATATTCCATAGAAAACAATGAATTTAGATAATACATTAAATAAATCAATGAGAGCTTCATTAAAATCAGTAGGAGAATATGCTACAACATTATCAAAATTAAAACCTGTAATAACTGAGGATGATTGTTTTTAAAAGTACAGAATGGAAGGAAGTGGAAAGACCTTACATAAAGAAGAAACAAAATGGACAACTATATTTAATTCTGATTTAGCATGTTTAAGATATGTATATGAGGAGATATCGAAATTGGAATAGAATCCAGGAACAAAATGGGAAGATCCAGAATTTGGACCTACAAAAGAAGATCCATATGGTAGTAAAAGTATGTATTTTGCTGATAATGATGTACCTGAAGGTGCTCCTTAACCTAAGGAATGTAAATGGTTAAGACCAGAAGAATTATTAGCTATTTTAGTAGAGAATGGAGATGAATAATATAAAAATAGTCATGTAGATGTATTTGATGAAGATGGAGCTGCATCTAATGATGTTTGTTAATCTAAATATTTAGGTAATTGTTGGTTTGTTTCAGCATTATCGATTATTTCAGGATATGAAAAATATTTATAAGGAGATTTTGTAATTACTTAAGAATCAATATAAGAATTAACAGATGAAGAAGTTAATGGAATGCTTATAGGAGTATATCCACCATGTTTCAAATTCTTAAGAAAATATGGTATTTATGTTATGAGATTCTTTAAAAATTTTGGATGGAAATATGTTGTTATAGATGATAAATTATGTGTCAAAGATAATGAATATGTATTTGGTAAATGTAGAAAACCTACAGAATGTTGGGTTAATTTAATTGAAAAAGCTTATGCAAAACTTCATCAAAATTACTTTGCTTTAACGGCTGGAGATATTGCTTAAGGATTAGCAGATATGACTGGTAAAGTACCTGATAAAATAAAGTTAAAGGAAGAATGTACAAAAGCTGAAAAGGAAGATCTTTGGAATCTTTTATTAAAATGTAAAAAGGATGGAACTATGTTGGGATGTAGTGCTGAAGGTGGAACTGAATTATATATTAAAATAAATGATGAAGATACAGGTGTTATGAGTGGACATGCTTATGGTATTTTAGATGTTTTTGAAATTCCTGATTAGAGTTGTTAAAATTATCATAAATCACATAGATTACTAAAAATTAGAAATCCATGGGGATATGGAGAATGGAAATTAAAATGGTCAGAAACTCCAGATTATTCTGCTAAATTAGATAAATGGATTGATTGGATTAATGATTATTATTAAAAAGAAATTGAAAAGGCTAAATCAGAAAATAGAGAACCTCCAGAACCTTATGTTTATGGAGAAGATGATGGTACATTCTTTATGTGTTTTAAAAGTTGGAGAACAGTGTTTTCAAATCTATTTTAATGCATGTATATAATAATATATTAATTTTATAGTGATTTCCCTAAAGATTGGAGTGGATTAAGAGCATTTGATATGTTTGGATTGTAAAGTTCAGGTGCTCCTATGAAAAATGATGCTTCTTTAATTTAATATGCTTAGAAGAATCCATAATATATTCTTGATTTAACAAGAAAAAAGGGAGATAAGACTAATATGTATATTTAAATGTAATAAATAGATGGTATTATTTATTTATTTAATAAAATTAGGTCGATTGTTTTTAGGTGAAAGATATCCATATCCAAATGTAATGAAACCTATTTTACTTTGTGTGTTTTCTTTAGATAAAACTGAAAAATATTTAGCAAAATTTGATGATAAAAAGATTGTTGCTTCTTCTGGTAAATTGAATTTAAGAAGAGAGATTGATACTAATGATATATGTTTAAGTAATGGTAGATATGCAGTTATACCATGCACAAAAGAGGCTGCTTAATAAATTGATTTTACTTTAAGCTTTTATTTTGATTGTGATAAGAGTGAAATATCAATTACAAAATATGGAGATCCTCGTTTTAAGCTTTATCCAATTACAGAAGAAGAAGAGGAAGTAAATAAAGCACCTGAAGAATTGAAAAGATTATTAAAAAAATAAGCTTAAGAAGTGTTAAGTTAATAATGATAATGAATATCAAGATAAAATATCTATATTTATTGATATAATAAATCAATTCATTTTTTCTAAATGATAACATACTTATTCTATCATATTTTCTTTAGAATTCTCTCCTGATACTTTATAAATGATTGATGCATATTTAGGTGTTCCATCTATCAATTATTTCAAATCATCCCATCTCTTCAATCTATAAAATTATTTGTATCTCAATAATACCTCAATTATACAACCTCTCTTTTTTCATTTGGTGCTATTATCAATCTTGATCTTACTTCCTTATCAGCTTCATCTAGTGAATTATAAACTACTCCTGTAATTGGATCAGTTCTTCTTTAAATAAGTCTTCTTGTAATTATATCATCTGCTACATCTATTATTACCATTAAAGTTGCTTAAATATTCAATTCATTTAATGATTCTAATTATTTCTCTGTTTTAGGATAACCATCTAAAACAAATCCTTACATTTAACAATCTGTCTAATTTACTCTTTCTTTTATTAAAGCATTTACTATTCTATCATCTACAAGATCTCCTTTACTCACTTTTTCAAATGCTTCCTTCCCACTTGTTCCCTTCTTATTAATTAAATTTGATATTAGTTCTCTTGTTGAAATATATATAAATCCATATTTGCTAGACAATTTCTTAGCTAATGTTGATCTCCCAGATCCAGGAGGTCCTATCACTACTATTCTAAGAGCTCTTTTTGGTGCATTATCATATAGTTTATATTTCAATAGTTACTAAATAATGAATTCTTATAAAATATACTGCCATATCTTCTAATTCATAATTCTTTTCTCCATCTACCTAAAAATATTAATTTTTGTAAATTTATTTAACTTATTTTAAATTCAATTAATATTCCATTGTATGGTTTTTTACTAAATCTTCTTTATTGTTTAATTTATTAAATGGTTCTGTTTCTAATTTTTTAACACAACATTAATATATTTTTTCTTCAGACATTTCCAAAATTAAAAATGCATCAGGAATTATACCTTCTTTTTAAAGTGCTAATCCTTAAACTTGAGTTTTAGGAAATCCTTCAAAAATATAACTTTTCTTTTCATTTTCTAAATGATTGATTTAATTTAGTGCTATATTAATCACAATTTCATCACTCACATATTAAAATTTATCCAATGATTCTTAAATTTATTAACTCTAAATTAATTATTGAATTTAATATATACCAATTCAGACTTTTTGCTTAACTCCTTTTCTATTAAATCTCCAATTGAAACAATATGAAAATTCAAATAATCAGCCAATGTAAGTGATAATTCTCTTAATTTTGAACCAGGTGGACCAACTACAAAGATTTTTTTGGCTTGAATCAATATCACATTTACTTTCTGGTTCTTAGAGTTTATTAATTAGAAATTAGATTGGATCATCAGGTTTTTTAATGATTAATGATTTAAGTAAATCTTCAAAGATGTGATAAACTTTGTTTCTTTCAAGATATTTTTCAACTTGTTATTAGTACTACAGCTTATTGGCTTAGTCCATAAGTTATCTTTTTTTATTTAAATTATTGATATAATTATAATAAAAAATTAAATCAGGACTTTTTCATTTGCTCTAATAAGTCTTTTTGCTACTAAATCATTTCTTTCATAAGTCTATTTTGTAATTTAAGACGATGGATAATCTCTTTTTTTTATTTCTGATTCTCAATTTGAAGTGGCAAAGGTTGAATGATTCTAGGGATTTATTTAGTCTTTTATTCTTATTATTTTTGACAAGCTCTATTAATAGTGGCAGAACTGCTAATTTGAGGCATGGAAGAATTTAATTTGCTTTTCTTTTCAGGTTGAGGATCTAAAGAGAAAGCCCATTCTCTTATTTCTTCATTTGTCATTAATTCTGAAAGTGGACAATTGATTTTTTAATCCATAAATATTATTGTAATCAATAAAAATAATAAATGGCATCTGTATAAAAATGAAAATCCTTGTTATATTGTTCATTAGAACAAAATGAATGTATAGAAATAAATAGGTAAAAATGAATGTTGAATATAATTACAAATAAATTTAATGAATATGATTAAATTTTAAGTACCTCACTAATGTGAATCAATATAATGTATATGAATAAATTTAGAGAATATGAAACAATATTTTATGAATAAATTTAATCGATTAAATTAGATTAAATTTGATTAAATTTGATGTGAAATGAATAAATTTAATATAAATCAGAAAAAATAATAATTTCTATGAATCTGATTAAATTTAATAAATATCAATGAATTATGAATATGAGTAGATTCAATATATAAAGAATCAATAAAACTAAAAAGAATTTGAATAAATAAATTAAAAAAAATTTAAAATGAATAAATTAAATGAATATTAATCAATTTTATGAATCTGAATCAATACCACTGATGACTACATCTTCTTGTGGTTAGGCTTAGTTGTCTCTTTTTTAAATGGCTTAAACATTTCTCAATAATTTTTGTCTCAATTATTCATCTGCTTCATTATAACTATTTTCATCATTTCTACAATCTTCATCATCATCATATGAGGTGATTTATTTAGTTGAGAGTTCATGTTTTGATGGATAGTTTTCTTGAAAATGAAATTTTTCAATATGATTTTTTAATGGTAATCTACTAGTATATTATTTTCCACAAAATTAACAATAAATCTTTTCTTTATTAGAACTATAACTATAATCTGAATTGGAAGATCTTTTTTTGAGGTTGAGCATAGAGCTAGAATTACGACCATAGTATGAATCAGCTTATTTGATTTGATTGAATAATCTAGTATATTTATCTGCAAGATGTTTCTATTCATTGAGATAGTTACTAATTAAATCAGCAAGTTTGTTGTTCATTAAAATAATGTAAAAAAATAAATAAGGATTTTAAGATAGGGTAAGACCAATAATTTATATGATATTGTCAAATAATTAATATGATTATAAAAAAGTAATTAATTAATCATCTCAATTTATTTAAGTACTTTAATCGTTCGAATAATGAAGGATGACTATTATAGTACCATTAATAGACTGTATCTATCATTAAATTGGTAGAATTCTATTTGAATAATTTGACAAGTCCACTCATCAAATAAGATCCAAGACCATGATGGCTGGCAAAGATATCTGCTTAATATTCAAAGAAACGTGATAGATGGAGTTCAAATATTTGAAATAATGTATTCATGGGTTCAAAAAGAGAGAAAAATAAAGCAGAACCAATAAAGATTGATTTCTCTTTAAATCCAAAACTTAAAAACACAACATCTGAATCTCTATAGAAACCAAAGATATAAAAAGTAATAAGAACTAAATCATATATATTATGAAATACTTTTGATACAAAAGAAAAACAGTTTTATGTAAGGATGTTTATATTTCCAATGTCCAAGTTCATGAGCAACAACAGCAACAATTTCTTCATTAGTAAGATTATTAATGAGAGTGTCATAGAGTACAATACGTTTACTGTACATACCAAAGAAATAAGCATTTGAATGATCTGATCTTTTAGATCCATCCATGACAAGAATCTTTTCTAAAGGAAAGTTCATTCTTAATGCTAATTGACTAATTGCTTATTTAAGTTCTGTTTCTTTTAATTCTTCGAATTCATTGAATAAAGGTTAAATATAATTTGGATAGACAAGACTTGATACTATTGCCATAAATAGTACGAAGAATTACATCTAAATATATACTTAATTTTATATATACAGCTATAAAAAAGTAATCTCCTCCAAGTTCAGCTACATATAAGTAGGAATATAGTAATATAGGTACAAAGACTACCCATAAGGCTGATTCAATGACTAAATCACTAAATTAAAGTGCAAATGATATTTGACTTAAATCATATCTCTTTTCTATAACATGAGTGTTATAAAAATTATTAGGAACATCAATTAATTTGAGGCGTAGAAATTCCATAAAGATATATGCCAATCCTCTTTAAAACTATACTCAAAATGGAATTACCTCTGAATTTGGATCCATTTTGAAGAATGTAACAGTCCTTTCCCAAATGAATGGCATCACACCACATAAAATCACAATTATCTCGATTGCTGTTTTGATTGATTTTGTATACATTTCAAATGATCTAAACAATATCTCAATCTATTTTACAATTTATCATAATAAAATCTTTGACTTCTCTTAAATTATTTCTATGTAATCCCTAAAGTCTGTTCAATATGAATTGGCATCTGTTTCACTGATAATTAATCTAATTGTCTTAGATTAATAAATTATTCCAACAGATACTTTATCACTATATATGACACAACAATGTAGAGATAAGAATATGATACTTCTTATTCTCTTATTCTTAATATTGCCATTAAAATTAAAATTGATATATTTTTATCAAAACTCAACTTACTTCTCCGAATACCTTTCTCCATCTACACCTTTAACCTTTCTCTATATTCCATTTGCTTTAAATACCATAACTACAGTTGAATCTTATTTGAACATATTTAATTAATCTCCTTTTCTAAGTTATATTTTTTGATCATAATATATAAATAACTCCCATGCTTTTCTATTTATCTAAAATTATTTATCAAAGTAATTGATTCAACATTTGTTATACCATCCAAATTTATAAGTTCCAAAAAATGCTATTGTTTCATACACTTTCAATCTATATATGACTAATTTTCACTGATACTAAATATTCTACTTATA